CACATACCACCAGCCAGCAGGCAATGCATCCCGGAGCCCTCTGCCAGCTCCCCAGCCTGAACTTGGTACCCAGAGCAGAATTTGGCATCGGGAAAAGCTCAGAATTCATGCTTTTCCATTCATTCATTCATTTTAAAAATCCCAACATTTGTGCAGATTTCACAGAGCTGATTCTCACAGCTGTTGTGAGGAGCAGTAACTGCTCTCTTATTTTCCCTGATGGTTTAAGTACCATTTCCAAACCTTTTACCCCACCTCTCTGTCTCTTTCTTCTGCCTCTGACACCAGGGGTGGGGAACCTCATGCCCAGGGGCCAAATGTGGCCTCCCAAGCCTCTCCATTCCACTCTCCCCAGGCCACACCTCCTATCCCAAGGCCACACCCCCACCAGCCCTGCTTCCCACTCTTCCTTACCAGACTTGAACCCTGATAATGCCTTTCCCTTGCCTGGATGGAAGATAGAATGGTGTGAGTGTGTAGCAAGTAACCTGGTGCCCTGAGGTGAAATCTGCATTTCTTGCCATGCCCACTCTTGCCTATGGCTCTGCCCACCACAGAAGAGCATCTGCCTGAGGGTTGCCCCAAAATGAAAATGGCTTTTGGGCTGAAAAGGGTTCCTTATTCTTGTCCTACAACATCTGCATCTTGGAAAGGGGCCAGGCAGGTGGGATGTACAAACAAACTACATCTGGGTTACTCTTAGGACATGGAAAGAGGATGCTTTTGGCTGTCACCTCTAGACAAAACTGGGAACCCATCTGGCTGGCTTGCTGAAGCCCTTGGGAGTCAGGCTGTAGATTGGGAAGACAGCTGTTCCTACCAAGGGGAAAGCACCCCAGCTCTTTTCCTGCAAGAGGCTACACTCACTCTGCCACGTAATCCGGCACCTGCAGTGGTGGATCTGGAAGGAGAAAGTGGAGGGGTGCTTACTCAGATTATTATTATTATTATTATGCCCAGCCCTGCAAGGTGAGAGGCATCTAGCCAGTGCCAAACTCCAACCCAGCATCCATGGGTTTCTGCTGCTACTCACCATCCTTCAGGGTCCACTTGACATCTCCTGTCTTTCTGCTCACTGCGTGGAGGTTCCCGTCAAGGGTTGACACGAAGAGCAGCGTTTCTGCAACAGTGGGTGTGCTGCCAGCAAGACACTGGGGGGTGGGGGCAGGCCAGGAAGAGATGAAGCGGGGTGAGTTTGGAACACAGAGCCACAGCAAGGTCCTTTTCCTGCCTTCTTCTGCACAGTCGCTCCAGAGGGTGGTCCTGTGCTGCCAGCTTCCACCTCTTCCTTACTATCAGGGTTACCCTAGTAGAACTCAGCAGCCCCATCTCAACAGGCACCAGACAGCACTGCAGAGCCAACTAGGTGGCTGACTTGGTGCATGGTGGTAGACTGGACCAGATGACCCTTTGGGTCCCTTTCAGCTCTTCTGTGATTCTACGACTCAGTCTAAGGCAGCTCAAGCAAAGGGCCTCTGCTCAGGAGCAGAACATGTGCTTGGCATGCAGAATCTCCCAGGTTCAGCTCCCTCATGGCATCTGCAGGAAGGGCTGGGGAAAGTCTTCCCCCGAGACCTGCTGCTGCTGCCAGTCAGTGTAGGCAGTCCTGAACTAGATGGACCAATGGTCTTCTCGAAACTTGATTTGAGTGTCTTGGTGGTCCTGCCTGCAGCCTCCAACCCTGGCAGCAGAGCCTTCCCAGGTAAAAGAGAGGACCTAGTTTTGCCAGCCAAAACGGGGAGTGGGGAGGAATGGGGACCCTGTGGGGAGCATCGGATGGCACCCAGTGATCACATCCACCCCATATTTCTGAAGCGCTCCTATGCCACTCAGAGAGGCATGGAGCACAGTTAAGCCATGGAACCTGCTCCTGCAGATGGGCTTTAAAAGAGAATGGCATAGATGGCTTTAAAGAGGATTGGAGAAATCCATGGAGGGCTATCAATGGCTAGTAGCCAGAGTGGCTATTCTCAGCCTCCTTGGTCAGAGGCAGCAATGCTTCAGCTGCTGGAAAGCACAGGAGGGGAGAGGCCCCTTGTGCTGGGCTCCTGCTTAGGGGTTTTCCATTGGGGCATTTGATTGGCCCCTGTGAGAACAAGAGGCTGGACTAGATGCGCCATGGGCTGATCCAGAAGGCTTACTCCCAAGATACCTGAAGAAACGAGTTCCCACGCTTTCTCGGGGAAAGGAACAATAACGCTCGAAGTGGTTTGTGTGTGTGACATTCGCCCACCCCACGACCCCGCTTCCGGGTCTGCCAGAGAAACCCCTGCAGCAGGGGACCTGCCACATTCGGGCGCATTCCTGGAGGGCAACAGCCGGACTTGTGCCAGCTCACCTGCTGCGCCCGCCCGCCAACTCCAGCCGGGCGCACCCGTTGGGCAAACAGCTTAGCAAACACGGCGGTGGAGGGGAGAGTGAGAGTCTTCCTTCTCCTCCTGCTCCTCCTCCTCCTCCTTGGGACCAGGAGGAGAAAGCCAGCCTTCTCCTCAGCCCCCCACCCTGCTGTCTGAAAGCGCCCCCATTTCCACGCCCCCCTTTTCTTTTTGTCCTCGCGAAGGACTAGCGCCTTGGCGGGGCCGGCATCATGCTCTGCTTCAGGAAAAGAAGACTTAGGGGAGCAGGAAAGAAAGCCATCTCCTCTTGTCTTCAAGGGCTCCGGGACTCAGGAGAGCGCTGAATGGTGTTGTTTTTTTGGGGGGGGTGGATTGCTCCGCGGGCTTCCAAGTTGGCAGAGTCAGCCCACGGCGGGGAGAGGGGGGGTCTGTCCCAACGCCCTACAGGGGGGAAGCCTTGGGCATCCCGACAGCATCTCCCACCAGCCCTGGGCTTAGGATCCGCTCCACTCCTGCAGCTGGGCTCGGCTGGGGCTGGTGGGCATCATGTCTTAGGAGGCGACACCCCACGCCCCACAGAGCCTTACCTGGGCTAGCAGGGCGCCGAGGAGGAGGAGGAGGAGCAGACGCGGTCCGCGGGTGCCCCGTCGGGGCTGTTGCTCCGGAGAGTGGCGCATGACTGCTCTTGCCGCGGGTTCCGGGCATCCTCCTCCTCATTTGTTCCAGGGGCCGCGACTACAGCCGAGACCCCCGCAAGCCCGACGCCCCGGCTCCATTCCGGCAGGTTCCGCGCAGGGAGGAGCCGGACCTGCCACGCTACCGCCTTCCCGGGCGCTGCTGCCCCACCTGGCACACGCCTCCGCCCCAGATCCGGGTCCCTGCCCTGCCCTGCCGGGACCAACAGCCAGGAGGACGGGGCTCGCTGATTTCCCCTTCCCAAGCACCCCCGCCCACCGCTAGTAGAATAGGCACTCTGCACGGGCCCAGAGGCACACAGAGGATTTCAATTCTTTATGAGGATGGCTGCTTTTGCAAACACACGTGCATGTGTGTATGAGAGATAGAGATTCCCACTTCTGAGGGTCAGGGCTTTCCATTGCTCAGACCCAGCCAGAACCAGGAAGTGGGACATGCTGGTCAGGGTGGTAAGGAAGGCTGCTGGCACTAATGAAGAGAGCAGAAGGAAGCAAAGGCAACAACTGAGCATATACAAAGCACAGAGTGAGCATGTGCAAAGAGCCCTTCCTTTTTTGAGTTTGGAAAAAAGAACAGCCCTTTCCCCAATTCCAGAACCCCTCCTCAAATGGCATTTTGAACTCCAGATCCCCCTCCCAGTGAAAGTAAGGAGAGCTGGGTTATGAGCTGGCAGTGCTGCTCTCACACACCTTTTCAGATACAGCCTTGAAACCACAATCTGCCCACAGATCTCACTAGCAGGAAGTGCTGGACAAAAAACTGTGCAGGCGGAGAAGGAAACGCATTGGAAGGACTGTAGAAGGCCAACCAGGAACCTGTCTGTTTGGCCTTCACTCCTCAGTTGCATGAACAGCTGCCCAAGACCAGTCCAGCAGCTCCAAGATGTAATATTAAACTTCCCACCTTTGTGCCCAACACAGAGTAGCTTTTTATCCACTCAACAGGGATGCCAAGTACTCCTTCACACAGTGCAGAGTTAAAATTATGGAACTTGCTTCCACAGGAGGCAGCGAATGATGTCCACCAACTTGGAGGTCTTCAAAATAAAATTGGACAAATTTGTGGAGGAGAGGGCTATCGATGGCTACCAGCCATGGTGGCTATTGCTTTGGATCTACTGGAATACCAGTTGCTGGAAATCACAGGAGTGTTCTTGTGCTCTGGTCCTGCTAGCTGGCTTCCCATTGGGGCATCTGGTTGGCCACTGTGGGAATAGGATTCTGAGCCAGATGGGCCACTAGCCTGTTCCAGCAGGTGGTTCTTATGTTCTTAAGTATTATTTCACCTACAGTGGTACCTCGCAAGACGAATGCCTCGCAAGACAAAAAACTAGCTAGACGAAAGGGTTTTTTGTTTTTTGAGCTGCTTCGCAAGACGATTTTCCCTATGGGCTTGCTTCGCAAGACGGAAACGTCTTGCAAGTTTGTTTCTTTTTTCTTAACACCGTTAATACAGTTGCGACTTGACTTCGAGGAGCAACTCATAGAACGCGGTGTGGTAGCCTTTTTTGAGGTTTTTAAAGACTTTGGTGATTTTTGAAGCTTTTCCAAAACTTTCCCGACACCGTGCTTCGCAAGACGAAAAAAATCGCAAGACGACAAAACTCACGGAACGAATTAATTTCGTCTTGCGAGGCACCACTGTACTTAGTAATTTAGCGATACTTGCAATAAGTATTATATGTGAGGATCCCCGACAAAGATGCGTTTCTCTACCAAATATCCTCACTGCTGAAGGGGTGGGGGGTGGGCTTTCATCGCTCAAAGCCTGCCTTATATGGAGTCAGACCAATGGTCCATCTAGCTCAGTATTGTCAACACTGACTGGAAGCAGCTTTCTGAGGTTTCAGGTAGCGAGTCTTTCCCAACGCTACCTTGATATGCCATCCTCCACACCTCCAACCCCCCCCAAATTCAATAGCACTATGTGGGACAGGTACCATGTGAAAAACCACTCAACACAACCAAAAGTGTTCATTATCAAAGTTTAATTGACAAGACTGATTGATCTTACAGAATAGAACAAGGAGAATAATTGCCGGACAAAGTTACACTTAAAAATATTTCAGCAGTGCACGTCTAAGACTTAATGTTCACCCAGCCTCATTCATGCCTTCCTGTTCCCATAACCGGCCCTGGAAATGATAAACTGCTGCTCTGCAGAGGACCTGGGATGAGGGTGAATCAGGCTGGGCTATTTGGGATAGACACACTGCCTGCCTAGCTTCTGTCCATGCAAGGAACTGGCTAAGATTCAGAGGGCAGGCACATGATGGCGCAAGAGAAATTCACCCCAGCACAGGGCAACTCTTCACACAAGGGATACTGGGGGAGATGGAAGATTTCCTGATACTGAACACCAAGATCCCAGCCCCTGAAATGCATCCATACCAGTGTTAAACAGGTCTGTGTGTACATGTGCATGCCAACCACACCCCAGCTGGCTGCTTTCACTGCTTGGGCCCTTCTTGGGCGCTCCATTTGCTTGTGAAGCTGCCCACAAGGGGTGGGCATGATGTGGGCAGGTCATTCTTGTCTGTTGGAAGGTCTGGGAGACTAGGAGGGAGGAGGGCAAGTGGTGAAAGCCTGTCCTGTAAGACCAAACAGCTAGCATGTGTCCGTGCTGGGAGAAGGGCATATTGAGGTTCCCTATGGCTGCAAGTCTGGAGGAGGAGAGTTCTCCAAATATGGCACCTTGGGTGGGAGAAATGCATTGCACAACAGAACCTAGATTTTTGGCCCTGGTTAAGAAAATGGAAAGAAAATCAACAACTCAGCAAGAGCAAGATTAGCCCTGGAACACCACCCCCGTTTCCTAGGCACCAAATGCAGAGTAATTTCCTAATCACCAGCATTACATGGGATGTTTCTGCTCCATGAGACTGAGACAAATGCCTTTCCCAACCAGAGGTCATCCAGATGTTTTAAACATCTCCCATGATGGCTAGGGCTGATTGATGCTGTAGTCCAAAACATCAGGAATATACGTGGTTGGGGAAAGCAGGGGAAAACATGAGGCTATGGGTTTTTTTTCTCCTGGCAGTTTTTTTTTTTAAAAAAGAACTGAAAATCTGCCTCAAAAAGGATGGAGATCATGGGAGTGGTGAACGGAGATATGCTCCCAAGGTGGTTTTTTCATTAAAAAATACCCACAGGGGAACACCCACCCACTTCTTTGTGTCTGCTGAAGCCTTCCCTAATAAGCAGTCCAAAGCAGCACCTGTAATCTAAAGTCAAGTCCTTCGATATTTCCTTCCACTAAGAAGAGACACCTCATTTTCCACTCAGAGACACTTTAAGAAGGTACACACACAAGCAAATGTTTTCCAACAGGCTCATTAAATGATCTGAATATAACCTGCATGTAAACATGGCACCAGGGAGGCTTTTAAGCAGCGATGCTTTCAAGCTGCAGAAAGACACTCCCTCACAGAAAGGGATTGCAGTTTGGAAGCAAGCAGAGGCAAAGAAAGATATCTCAGGCAGCAGGACAGGGCAGACAATGAAGGGGGAAAACAAAAACACCAGCAGCATTAGGAAGCCAGTTCTACTGAGGCCGTCCAGTTCAGCCTTCTGCATCAATGTGGCTGCCCCTCTCTTGCACAGAAACCCAATTAATATTGGCATGCTGGAGGAAACTCAAGTCCCCCTCTCCTAAGCACATGGGGTGCAACGAGTTGTCAGATTAGGTATTCTTCCGCAAGCTGGCGCTTTCCAGCAGTTTTGGACTGCAACTACCAGCACCTACAAGGGTCAGCCACACTGCTATCAAAATGTGTTCAATTGAATAGTGATAGAATCATAGAACTGTAGAGATGGAATGCACCCCAAGGGACACCTAGTTCAACCCCCTGCAAGGAAGGAATCACAGAGGGGTACAGATACACACATGGACTGAAAAAGACACAGCAGGATGTTGTGAATACGCAGCAAGCTTGAAAAAGCTGCTTGTTCGTAGTCAGTACCTGAAGCAAGAGCTGCCTCCAGGATCAAAGGTGGAATCGTTCATAAAGGCTCAAGTGGGGCTGGAGCTGCATTCCAAATGCCTAAAGATCAGAATAAGAACTCAAGCCAAGCTGAAGCTCTAGCCCTCTCACTAGGGAATCTTGCCTGATAACCCCAAGGGTTGGCTCCAATGTTAACTGTACTCAGAGGAGGCCCGTTGAAAGTAATGGACATGTGGTCTTTTGATTTCAATGGGTTTGCTCTGAGTTACAGCTGATGTTGGATACAGCGTCCCAGGTGTGTTGGGGGAGGTGGAAGGAGAGAGAAGAGGAGCCTGACAGGTTAAGAGAAAGGCACTCTGCTTATACTCAGAGGTAATTGCTTATATTTTCTTTACTTCTCAATTTCCAAGGCTTTCGTCTTGGCACTAAACACAGGTTGTGGGACTAAGTTCAATGAGGGCGTGGCTCAAACAAAGCCACAATGCAGATGTTAAAAGTTCAGATGGATCTTTAGGCTTGGGCTGAGTAAGTCCCCTGGGCTCCGAAGGCATTAGCCCATGATGCAGATAAATTTTTGAAAAATGGTTGAGCCTTGAGGAAGACTGGAGACTAAGAATTTGTGGCTTGCTTCTAGAGAGAGAAAAAGACAACAGATGCTTGAACCTAGAAATCATTTACCTATTCCATGCAGATGTTTCCCCACATCCCCAATTATGCAGACATGCCCTTCACATATAAAGACTGGAAGGCAACTGAAAGCATCAGCACATCATCTTATAAAAGGACAGACCATGTCAACCACGTTATCTGCACTTATGGCCCGTTACAAATTGTGCTGCACAAATAGGAAGCACTTGGAAATTTGCAAGTACATAGTCACTTTTAAACTGCATGTTCCTGGGAAAGATTTGAACCACTTTAATGTTAATTTTGGAGAGAAACCAGCCTGGCGCAAGTCCTTTGGAAACCTTCAGCTGCCCTTGTACACAAGGAAGCAAGCAACCCACTGTCAGGACTCCTATGCCATTTACTTGTATTGTTGCTCTGCCTTCTAGAGAGAAGCCATACTCCTTGAGAAGGTGGGTTGAAGCACTTGCGGGAAGGAGCTGGAGCGAACAGCCAAACAGTTTGGTATTGCACATGTCAGACTCCCTTCCACTTGTCACAATTAGCCACTACCTTCAATATAAGAACATTAAGAGGAACCAGGATGCTGGATCAGGACCAAGGGGGCCCATCAAGTCCAGCCTCATGTTCTCACGGAGGCCAATCATATACCCCAAAGGGAAGCCCACAACCAGGAATTGAGAGCAACAACACTTCACTCACTCACAATTCCCAGAAACTGATATTCACAGGCATACTGCCACCAACTTTGGAGAGAGAACATAGCTACTGAAACCCTCAAAGTGCTCTGATGTCCCTCCTGTTCTCCTAAAGCAGGACCTCTCTAGAAAGCAGACCAAAAGAGAAAGACCAAAAGAGAGTGACCTCTTCTGCCCCTGCGCCACCTGAGCATCACTCGGTATAGTCCCCCTTGTGGGGGGAAAGGGACTCCTGCTCCTAAACAGCTGTCAACAATACAGATGTAAGGCAAACACCTTCTTACAGCTTCCCACTCGTCCCCTAAAGCACAGACAACCTCAATACTAGTTGTAATTATTTGTGTGGATGCATCCCGTAAGGTCACTTTCATGGAAATGGAACAGACAGGGATACACGTTTGCAGAAGACAGGTGACATTGACACCAGATCTCTAATGTTTAGAAATGCTCACATCAAGTAGTCTTCTAATCCAGGAGGTACAGACCTGGGCCAGGGATGTTTTCAGGTGCAGCTAAAGCTCAGACTGAGGCTCACCCTCCATGCACAACAAAGGATGCTCACGATGGGCACCACAGGGATCAAAGAAAACCAGAGGCAAACGACCCTTGAATTGAACTACAGCACTAAGGAGAAGTATACCATGATAGACAGGTAGTTAAAAGACAGCGTTCCTTCAAAGGAGCCTGGGATGAGGAAATGAGAAGGGAGAAGAGCTGTAAGTGGTACAACGTCTGCCTTGCATGCAGAAGGTTCCAAGTTCAGCCCCCAATGGCACCGCCAATTAAGGCTGGAAAGACGCTTGCCTCAAACCCTGGACAGCCACAGCCAGTGTAAATACTGAACTATATAGACCAACTGTCTGATCTGGTGAATGGAGGACAAGTCCATTAGGTCTGGCCAAAGGTTGCCCATCTAGTGCAATCCTGTTCTCAAAGCAGCTGACCAAATTCCTGTGCAAACCTCCAAGCAGGAACATGAGCGCAGCGGCCCTCTGACCACTTGCGATTCCTAGCAACTGGTATGACAGCGTCTTACGTTCCCAATGCTAAAATTGCAGCCAACCTTACTCTGTAAGTATTTATGGTTACTAGTTGCCAGTAGGAGTTATGAGTTACTAGTAGAGATGTGTAAAATAATTGGGTACCCTAACACATATACTCGGGGGGGTGGGGATACTGTAAAAACTTGGCATTTGAGGAAAGACTAAAAAAACTGTTATGCAATATTTTTCTACTACTGGGAGGATGAATAAAAAGCCTTTGAAAGTAGCACTTGAAGGATTATAGTCTGCTGCAATACTTCTTAGATTCATGAATGAAATGCAGGATAGTTAGTACTAATAGCCTTGGGTTTAGGTTTGGTAAGAAAGAATTGCATAAATTTCAATTTCTCCAAATGCCTGTTTTTTCTCCAGGAAAACGTGCCCTGACCCAACCACGGCATTAACATTTGAAGTTTTATATATCTCTATTCACACACCTGGTGATGTTTAGGAGTGGGGAAATCAATAATCAAAACCAGACTGGTCACTTCCAAAAAATTAGATGGCACAGAAGTCACAATTACTTCAAGGGTTCTTGAAATGTGCCCCCACCAGGCACAAAAAGATTTATACAATAGCTCAGCAGAAAATAAGACGGCCAACTCAACTGAACAAGGGAGGTCTATGGATGCAATTTGTCTGAATTGTTCTTAAAAAACATGAACCCCAGGGAACTTATCCTGAATGAGCTAGGCTGGAATGACAGTTCATTCTGGTTCAGTTCCTACCAGGATCAATGCAAATCATGATGTTAAGCCACACTCCAAGTTCACCTAGGCAAAGACTCAAGGAACACCTGCTTGGAAGATAGGGTACAAGGACACCTGAGGGTCCCCCAAGTGGGCCAAGGAACAGGGTGATGGCCAGCTACTTGCTCAGCTGAAAACATGATATAAAGAGCACCAAACAGAAAAAACCTGTATTCTAAAGCAAATTCGTGTCTTCCACAGGCCATGCAGTGGACCAGAGTTCTGGTATAATGAACAAAAAGCAAGTGACTACCACTTTGTTCAATTTTAACCACCGTTTTATGGAAAAGTTGCTAAAACATTTGACAATGCCACTAACCTCATATTAAAGGGTGTGAAGAATGTGCTCTCTTGCTGTGGATAACAGCTGCAAACCCAGCATCTCTAGAATGCACAGGAGAGCACGTATGTTCACACAGACCAGCCGTGTCTCTTCTTTGAACACAGGGAGGGACCTCCCTTCTGAGCACATTGAGGCAGCTGTGTGACTGTACACACATTCAGAAGCCCCACTGATGCTGGGGTGATACTGGATGCGGTCTGGATGCAGAGCAAATGTTATACGTAAAACAAGAGATAACAAACCCACAAGCTAGCTGCAAAGTAATTCTCGGTAACAACAGGGATAGCCAAGAAATGCTTCTTAAGGCAGTCTAGATCCCCCTAATAATGGTAGCAGAAAGGGAGAAAGAGAGAATGGCAGAACACAGAACAGAGTAAGCAACAGTCCAGCATGGCTGCAAGCCTCCTGCATTATTAAGCTTCCTTCCTCTCAGTAACAGGCATGAAAAACTCCACTAAAGAATCATTGCCAGCATCTGAAAAGGGAGTCAAGCATCTTTGGGTTAAGAGTGAGAGTTGTCCCATTTTGCTACCAGAAAAGCTACCAGGAAACTTAAGGACAAGGAAGATATGGCTTCTGAAACCCCAAGTTTGCATACCATTTAAAAGTTTTCTTTTAGTATTAAAAAGGAGAGAGAGAAACCTACTTCTCAAGCTCCCAGTCACAAGCGCATACCTCAAAACAAACCATAACGCTTGTTAATGAAGAGTTACGAAAATATCTGTCTCTTGTCCAAATCATGTAGAAAATCCTCAGCGGTGTGTCAGCGTTTTTCTCCTTGCAGAAACAGAAAACCAGAAGGGCTACTACACCTGGCACAGTTAAAGTGTATTACACACAGTGGTTTGTGAATTAAGGTTTATTGATTTCCATCATATTTGCTTTTTGTTTTTAAATATGGTTGAAGCTGGGCTGCCAAACAAAGGCTGCTGCTGCACTTTTTAAGTTAAAAATAAACTAATGGCGAGAGATCCCCACCTCTGGCGTCCTCCCAGGCCTCTTTGAGATCGTATCGATAAGAAGTTCCAGGACGACCCATGTCCAGGCCTCTCCTAGCAGTGTCCTTAGGTTCATGTCAGTCTCCAGTGCCAGAGGTGAGCGTGCCTTCAAAAATACTGCCACTTCCCCAGCACTGTGTCCTTGATGGCATCCACGTATTGAGTAGGCACCCAATAGACCCAGTAGTAAGAGGCTTCAGTAGGACCCAGCTGGAAGGCCTGGAAGATGTGGGAAAAGAAGAACAGGATGCTCAGGATTAAGGTCTCTCAAACTATGGCCACCTCATTTAACACTGGGACCAAGCCAGATTCAGCAGTTTCCTGAGGAGCAGCAGTTCTCTCTCAAAACATTGAATATAAGAAAAGCCTGCTGGATCAGGCCAATGGCCCATCTAGTTCAGCATTCTGTTCTTCTAGTAGTGAAGCAGATGCCTCTTTTGGGAAACACACAAGCAGGATTTGAGCACAAGAGCACTCTCTCCTCCTGTGGTTTTCAGCAACTGGTATCAGACACTTTCTGTTTATACATATTCGGGTGTTCAAAGTATTTCATGTACATTATCCCCAAACCCTTGCAACAACCAAGCAATGTAGGCCATCACTAACACCAGCATCTCCATATTATAGACAAAGTAGTTGAGGCAGAGAGTATTGGCTTGCCTCCAGCAAGCCGGATACTACTTTGTTCACACGCAGAGACATTATGCATTTTGCCAACTGGGCTCAGACTTTTGAATATAAAAGCCAAATCACGGTTTGGTGCTTCGGGAATGAGCTCTGTGCTCACACACTGCGCCTCCCCCCTGCCCCAGGTGTTCTGCTTCAATTATTTACTCCTGCACTTGTGCAAACCAGTCAGCTGCTGCAACTAAACTGTACTACAACTCCCACCATGATCATCCTTCTTGACCGCTGGCCATGCTAGCTGATGGGAGTTGTAGTTCAGAAACATCCAGAGGGCCACAAACACACCCCTTGGTCCTCACTTAACACCAACTTCAGTTCTATTTGTGAGAGGAGGAAAGAGAAGGAGACGCATAAACTCTCCTTTCAAGTGGCAAATAAACCAAAAAGTTAATGAGATTGTTATGTAAGTAGAGGCCCTGTGCCCCTGTGTGTTTCTGTCCACTGAAGGGAGAAGTACTTCCTCCGTAGAAAATAGAAGAGAGGCAGACAGGAGTTCACTGAATGATGAGTCTTCTTGCAGGGTAAAAAGCAGGGAATATGATCCTCTCTATGGAGAGTGCTGCATGAAGGGTACAGAAGGAAGAAAGGCTTCTCTCTGAATTAGCCCTTATGCTGACTGCTTTTGCTCATAGGAATGTAGTCTTCTCCTGAAACCCTAGGCTTAACATCTGAAAAAGTTCAGGTGCAGTATTTGCAGAGGACCATTCCTTACCATCATGTGATAATCCTCATGTCCTTCGATAGGTTCACTCACCACGTTCTTGATAGACCCCATGGGCAACTTTTCTGTTCTTTCTGCATTGAAATAAAACATGTCAACTTGGGCAGGATGACATTTCACACCATTCCTCCACTCTTCCTTCCAGAGCTTCTCCATCCCATCAGAATGTATGAAAAAGGAAAGGCTTTCTCAAAACTACAACAGCCTCAATACCTGATTCCAACAACCTCTCCTCTTCCAAAGATGACCTTCCCTCCACCCCGAATGCTCTTTGCATCACTCAACTCACTGGATGGATGGATGGATGAATGAATGAATGAATAAATAAATAAATAAATGGCTTTCTTCTGCTAAGACAAAAGAAATTTATAAACCCCATATGCAGCTTAATCCTTAAAGTTCTTGCTGTTTCCCTAGTTCACCCCCTAAACCATTCCTGTGGCAAGAAATCAGATAGAATTAAACAAAACAAAAGCATGGTCTGTCTGCAAGACCACACAGCGACAAAATGAGAATGCATTTCAACCTCTTATCAGCATATTTCCTCCCTATGTGAAGCTGGTCCAAGGCCAGCATAATAGAGTGTCACATTTCACATCTTTCCTAGTCAACAGATGTGCCTTTTTGCAAAAGGAGAAGATCCCCCTGCTGAGGCACTCAGATGGTCTCTCTCTTTCCCCAATGGTAGGGCCATTTGCCAGGCAGAGATGTGAGCTACCAGGTGCCTGACCCTCCCCAGGTGGGCTGCTGCAAGAACAGGTGATGGTTTAAGTGCTCCTACTGCTAAGGAGTTGGATTGGGAAAAACCAAACCCCATATAATGAAATTGGCCATTACTGCATTAGAATATTATTCAGTCATATCAGTAACCATTAAGAAGTCATAATACAGAGATTACACAACCACAGTTGTGACTGAGGCCAAAAGCACTTTGTGCCCATTAATTTCATCTGGTGAGAATTAAGCATGAGCTTAGCTGCTATTGAAACCAAATGGGACATACAACAGCTTAGTATGGGCTACACTGTGCCTGTTGCTCTGTGTGAGGGTCAAAAACATCTAAACTAGTAAGCCCCAGCTTTCAATGGAAACCAGAGTGTAGCAAAAGTATGCTGCTCCTCAACTAGCCTTGTTAAATGAAACTCAGAAATACCCATAATTTCCCACAGACTCTTTAGCCCTTTCAACTCCACGCATCATGCCTGCTCAATCCAGTTTTGCATCTAAAGAAAGCCTGGGGCTGCAAACGAGCAGGAAGTGCAGCTTACAGAGCCACTAAAATACTACACAGAGTTCAACCAGCCAGCCAGGTCAACAAAATCTCTTTCTAAGGACCCTCTGTACTGCAAGTTCTGCTTTTAATGGTCCCCACTCTGCTCAGCCCCTGTGCAATGTTCTGATATTTATGAGACAGTGGTATATAAATAAATAAAGTGCCACTGGCGTGCGTGTGTGCAGAATGCCAGCGCTCTCAATGTTTCAGCACTTTCAGAGCCTCCCTCCACGATGGTTCTTGGGACACAAGCAGCTCAACTCCCCACCACAAAAAGACTCCTGCACAACAGACACAAGGGGCACAGGCAGAGCATTAAACACTGAAGAGCCACAAAAGCCCTCATATATTAGGTAGGTAAAACCCTTCAAGCAGGCCAAATTATTAATTGGTCAAAGATGTACAGGAAAAGCACTCTAAGGTATCTAAATCACCAATGCCTTTTCCGCTCAAGCTTCACATGAACTGTAGCATGTTTCTATCTGTTGCTCCTAAACCATCACCCGAACAGGATGACTCTACAGGCTCAGAAATCTTGCAAGGGGTCAGCTGTGAAACACTAAACATGCCATCAGTACTCCCCCAGAGAGAAGTCTTCTGGTCCCCCCAAAGTATATAATTTTGAGCACCTACCTTTAGTGCCAATCCAGAGCTGATCTTGTTCAAGTTTAAAGGTGAGCCGCACTTTTCCACCCGACTTGTTGTACATGCCCGATAAAGGAACAGTTGGCAGGCGCTCCTAAGAAGTTGAGAACAGAGGTCTTCTGTGAACAACAGGAAGCTTCTGCCAGCTTTACAGCACAAAGTTAAAAAAGCCACCCTCCTCTACAGGACACAAGTGTAGGAGAGAAGGAAGAGCCCCAGAAACTGCCACTGGCTCCTATGGAGCTCAACAATGACACAGCCTACTCACACACCTGGGCACCCTTGACAGAAGGCATCACATCTTCAGGTTTTCCTTTATCTAACACTTTCCTGTGTTGCTGTAACAAAGCGGAAATAAAAAATAAACATGACAAAAGCCTAGAAGATTTTCCCATCTACCTACTTGCTAACATATTGAGATTTTTAAGAATTTCAAGAAGATACACAGGCAATTAGTTACCTCTTATCTTAGCCACACAATCCAAATGCAATCAAGAAATGCATAGTATGTATTCTGTCTATCAGTAGTTATAAATTCACACACTTCCCTAAAATTCAAGGGTTTACACCACAACTTTGGTGAAAACTATCACATTAGTAACTTTGCAAAGGAAAGCATGAGAAGATCTCACAGAGATTCCCACCTCAAAACTGGCCAGTTGATAGCAGAATTAGCTATCGGCCAAAGGTGACAAAGGCCAAATTCAACAGGAGTACCTAAAGGGCAGTACCATTTGGCTATAAAATGTTATTTATTGCTAAATTACAGTCACTACACTGTTCGTTCCACTAAAGTTAAATAGAGTTCAAATGGCTCTTCAACCTTGGACTTGCAGATAGTTTTTAGGCAACTTGCTCTCTCAGTTATTGGAATACTGATCTAACCAGAAGGCTGCTGCAGGAATTATCAAGATAAGGAGCTTCAAGTTAACTTTTCACTGAAGCACATGGACCTCAAGGTCCTTCCTTTTAACTGGTCTATGGTCAAAAGGGGTACTCCCATTTTACCTGGGAGATCCATGTACACTTTCAGTCCAAACAAGCCACCTAGGCTGGAAGTTGTAACCAACCTTTTGTCTGCAAAGGGGCTCCTTTTTGGTCTCTTCTGATTTCACTTCCTGCTGAGCAGCATCTTTTGGTGTGTTTACTGCCAAGACATCATTGATAGTTGAGCCAACCACCATTATTTTTGCTCCATTGATCACTTTGATTTCCCGTAAAGTTTTATCCTCTGGTAGAAGTCCTTTGAACATGACCTTCTGCATTGCAGGTGGAAGGCCTAGCAAAGAAGGAATCAACAGGGAAGACTTTTTAACGCAGGAATTTCTTCCAGATATGATGGGAAGGTCACGTGGTAGAATTACCTCTCCATAAAACACAGACAGCCTCACCTGTGAGTGAGTGGATTTTCTGCTTCAGGTCAGCCCCTGTGTTATCAAGTGGGAACTTCAAGTCATACTTATTTTTGTTCCAGATAATTTTTAGCTCAACCAGCTCTTTCCCAATCTCAGAATCGCCGCCATTGCTGACAGAAGCCTGTGGGTCAGGTGGATCACTTTGAGGATCATCAGTCTCCAAAGGTTTCTCAGCAGAAAGAGGATCGCTGCCATCCCTGCAGTCTAGAGGCGGATTCTCAGCTTCTGCATCCATGCTGGTGTCATCCGAATCTGCAAAGAAAGGAAACAAATGAGAACAGCCCCCTTGAGAGAGGTGGGATATGTATACATACACTCCTTATGCACTGTTTTGGGACAACACTCAAAATAAAAACAAAAACCCCCACCAATCCAAATTAAGACTTCAGTCGGGGCTGAATTATGTCAGCGGCAGGTACAGAGTCAGCTCAAAACACTCCCAACAGTAACTATTTTCTCTTCGTTTAATAGCACTTATTCCAGTACTGGAGTGCCTCCCCCAATTGTACCCGCTTGGCGAGCAGAACCCTACTTTCCTCATTCTTATGCCTTGCAGTATTTCTCCCTACACCCCCCATCTCTGCACCCGCCCCCAGTTTTGCGGGCCCAGCCCGTCTCAGGGCTGAAGCCAGGCAGACCTCGGCTACACGCCTGGGAAACTCCCCTCCCTCGTGCCAGGGCGCCTCCCCCGAGGAAGACCCTCCGAAGCTTTCCTGGGTGGGTGGCGCTTTAGGAAAAAGTGGCTCAAGGCACGAGGCCGAGAGAGGGGAGGCAGGTGAGGGTGAACCTCCAGCCCAACCCAGCCTAGTCGCTGCCTTGAGGGGGGAGTTTGGGGCTGCCCTGGCAAGGGGAGAGGGAAGGCCGGGGGTCGCCCACCCCCAAAGTGTACAGCCCAGGCCTTGCCCCTTGTTTCCCTCCGCGCGCCCCCGACCCTGGCGGACCCCGCTCTCTCTCGCGCGCGCACCGGGGGTGGCAGAGGCGGCAGCCATGATGATTGTGTACAACCCGCCCGGGGGGGTGCCGGGAAAAGCGCCGGGCGGTCCGGATTGGCCTCCGTCGGCCTCCGTAGCCCGCCCCTTCCGCCTCGAAACCTTCGCTCGCCGGTCCGGATGTTTTGGACTACAGCTCCCGCCACCTCCTTCTCCCCAGTCAGCCAGCCAACATGGCTGTTGTGGCGGCAAGGGCTGATGGGAGTTGTAGTCCAAAAGCCCGGCGGAGGGCACGAAGTTGGCGGAGGCTGCTCCGTCGTAGCGTTGAAGTTCCACGTGGTTCGGTTTTGTAAGTCGCCCAAGCTGGAAAGGCGGTGGAAAAGCCTTAAAGAAAGATACAAAAGGGAATGACGCTTTTTAAAAAAAGTAAAAATAAATAAATATCTTTATTTATTAAATAAATATTTGACACAGTTTTGACCACCTCCTTCTCGCTGCCGCCTCTGTCTGTTGTTGTTTTTTATATCCTGCTTTTACCCCACAGGGGCCTCAGGGTGGCTTCCACAAATAAAAACAACACAGATAAAATATAAAAAAGCTATATATATACATATATATACAATCATTTAAAAGTAATTAAACTCTGACAGAATTAAAACAATATAAAAATACGTGTATTACAATACTGTACAGCTAATAAAACAGCACTATCAAAAGCCAAGTTCTCAACACGCCTCAAAAGAGCCTCAGTGGAGTAGGAGAACACAGGACCAGCCAGCCCATAAATGGAAGCTAATCAGAATAAAGTTACTAGTCCTTTTTTTTTTGCCACAAGACACTGGTTGCTTTTACAGCAACATAGTTACTTAGCACAGCCAGTCTCCAGGATCTCTGGCAGGGACTCTTTCCCACCCAGGACCTTTTGCATGGCAGGCAGTAGCTCTGCCTCTCAGCTAAGGTTGTCTTACCTAGAGAAGGGTGGCCCTTGGAGCTCTGCTGCAAGCCTGTCTCTTATAGGGGCAGTGGCCAACTAGGTGCATCCTCCTCTGGGAAGCCCACCCCAAGCAGGATGCAAAGGAGACACCAATGGTCAGCCTTCTAGCTAATTTGCTGTGCTGCCATATACTAAAGTTTGAGATTATTGTTGCTAACTTGTCTTATTGATAATTTTATTGTTTCATATACTTTATTGTTTCTTATTTTTGTAAACTGCTTGAAGAGGTGTTTTTTTTTTTACAATCAAGCAGTGTACACATTTTATGAAATAAATAATATAAATACACACACACGTATATAAAGAATAATTTGATTGGAACAGCTTGATCCAGGTTCTATTAGCCAAAAAACCCCGCAAAAATAATGTGTATATAAAAAATAAATCCACCGTCTCTTCCTCCCCTTAATATAGAATAGAAAAATGAATATTCTATTAAAAATTTAAAAAATTAAAAAATAAAAAGTAAAACTGATAGTATTTGGTCCCACTTCGGCGTTGCCCCATTTCGGCGGCCGCAGCGAGGACGCTGTTTCTTTAAGTCTGGCTCCGCCCCTTGTTCCTGTCGGAAACTGAATGACCGACGGAATGTGGCCAATGGGGCGCGGAGGGCGGGGCCTTGTGTTAGACCACGTGCGCTTCTGCTGCTGCCTGTTGAGTCTACAGCTGGGAGGCCGCTGCTGCCGCCGCTGCCATGGGACTGGGCGCTGCAGCGGTGGGGGATGCCTTGCGAGGCGCAGTCCGGGGGTCCGGCGTGCGGGTGAGGTTCGCGCCCAGCCCCACAGGTGAGCTGCCCCGGAGCCACGCGGAGCTCCTCGCCTTGCTGCCGAAGCCGCGGGGACTTCCTTGGGTCGCTGCCTGACACGATTAGGATTGTGCTGCCTTCCCGGGCAGTTTGCAAAAGCGATTCTCCAAATCGGATATTGTTATCATATTTTTAAAAATACGTGTTTGCTGGTTTGCTGAAACTACAGCTGTAAAAAGTCAATAGGATGTGAAGAGAAATAAAAAGAGAACAAACCCCGCAGCTGTAACTGTGCCATCATAATCAACAACAAAGGGATAGTCTGAAACAGGTTTAAGAGAACCCATCAGGGGAAAGGCAAATAACCCATTCCATAGCGATGCATGAATCGTTGGAGGTTTGTGTAATACACTATTGTTGGTTATAAATGGGAACCACGCTATGTCAAAATGATTATGCATAGCCATATAACAAGTATTAATAGGTATCAATTCATTTTTTTACCTGCCCTTCACACTTAAGGTCCCAGGATGGGTTACAGCATTCAAACTATATTAAAAACAACTTACAGTCATTAAAAAAATAAGGTCTCCCAAGATTCTAGGCCTCTGACACTTACACACTTGCTCATTGAGCTCATTGGGATCTAGTAAGCTTCATGAATCATGAGTTGTGCAGGCCTAATTGAATGCCTCTTGGTTTTTATTACTGTCCTTGGAGCTGAGATGCTGCTGTTATGCCCTTGGTGTGGGATGAACAAAAACAAAGGGGGGGTTGTCAAAAGTGTCTCAGTAGAAATCAGAGTAGATCATGGAAGCCTGAAGTATGCTTAACCTTGTGGTTGAAGGTCCCTGAACCCAGGTGAAGTTGGATATGTGGGGATAGCACAAGAATTGCCCAGGTGCATGGATCAGACCGAAAGCCTATCTTACTCAGCCTTCCCCAACCTGGTGATCTCCATATAGCTTGCCTCGCAACTGCCATCATAACAGTGCTGGTTGCAGAAGGTGGAAATTCTATTCCATCACAGCTGCATCCAAAAAAGGCCAAGTGCATGTTTCTGGGACGCTCATAAAGGTGCCTTCCTTTGTTAATCAGAGGTAGACTGCTCTTGAACACGGAGTTCCATTTCAGCTGTCATTGTTAACATCCCTCAGCACACCTTTTCTCCCTACTTTTGCCTATTCCTCTTTTAAAAGTTAACTAAGTAAACAGTTGCCTCTTTCTCTTGGGGCTGTGATATGCATTGCACGTTCTGAACCAGCCAGCCTGAATTCTAATATTATTTTGAGAAGGAAGGTAGTTTTAAACTGCTTGCACATTTTAAACCGTTCACTTCTCTCCTGCTCATGTAATTGGAAGTGGAATGACTCTTGATGTGGAGGTTCTCTTTTCAGCTAGAACAGCAAACAGCCTCTGATTATAGCACCAGAGTTGTGCCTCATGTACCCTGTTCTTCCTTTTCTACGTGCTGAGCAGGGTTCCTGCACCTAGGTGGCCTGCGGACTGCTTTGTACAACTACATTTTTGCCAAGAAACACCAAGGGAGTTTCATCCTCAGACTGGAGGACACAGACCAAAGCCGGGTGGTGCCCGGGGCTGCTGAAGGCATAGAAGATATGCTGGAATGGGCAGGTAATTCTGCTTGCCCACACATGCATGCAGTTCAGGCTCTAATACAGGGGCCAAACAGTGTGTGGGGTTGCATCCTTTGCCAGGTTTCCTCAGGGAAGCAGTGCAAGATGATCAGATCCTCAATAATAATAATAACAACAATTTTATTATTTATACCCCGCCCATCTGACTGGGTTGCATTAAACATTTAAAAACTTCCCTATGCAGGGCTACCTTCAGATGTCTTCCCAAGGTTGTATAGTTAGTTATCTTCTTGACATCTGATGGGAGGGCGTTCCACAGGGTGGGTGCCACTACTGAGAAGGCCCTCTGCCTGGCTCCTTGTAACTTCACTTCTCACAGTGAGGGCCCTTGGAGCTGGGTCTCGGTGTCCAGGCTGGATGATAGGGGTGGAGATGCTTCTTCAGGTATACAGGGCTGAGGCCGTTTAGGGTTTTAAAGGTCAGCACCAGCATTTTGGATTGTGCTCAGAAATGTACTGGGAGCCAATGTAGATCTCTTTGTTCTTGGTTTTTCTGTCTTATCCAGGGAGTGGGGAAATAGAAAATATTCCAGCCCCCTCCTCTCGCCACCCCCGCTTTTCTTTCCCAGCATCATCATAAACCACCTTGGAGAACAGGACAGCTGCCCCATCACTCTCAGCAAGTTATCTACCCTCCCTGATGCTTAACCTCATAGAAAGGGGTTCAGACTCCCCTCTCCTTGTTTCCTTGCTTACTTTCAAAAAAACGAAGCAAAACACAATCTCCAAGTCAGCTACCTTGGCCTCAAGGAAACAAATTTATTTGCTGATGGTGAGTTATCCACCACACTTTAGACACATGTGACTTCTGTCCAGCAAGCAAAGAGTTGTACATCTGACACTCTGTGTTCAGTAATTAGATGGCTCCCTCCCACACTTGATTTGTTTTTCCACCTGCATAATGTGCATTTTCTTTGTTATAGTTTTTCTGTTTGGAAAGTTGGGATTTGCAAAAAGGGAGAGGGTTGATTGCTCTGGCCTTCTGTCCCTGTGGCTGCACTCTCACAGGTGCCTAACTCACCTGCCTACTTCTTGATGCTTTTGTCACTGGGGTGCCCACAAGAATGCCTGCCCTTTTATGCTACTGGCTATCTTCCTCTAACTCTTGCTACAGACATTTCCATCAGAAAAGCCTTGTTTAAAAGGGGGAAATGTGTGTATTGACCACTGGGCTGCAGCACAGTCCAGTGAGTTGGGATTTAAGTGACCTGGGAATGGGGATTTATTTAAAATCAGGGGAGCAGATAATGAGTCACCACTTCTTCACCTGATAAAATCATCATGTGATTATGGGATGTGGGGACTTCCAGCCTCCCTGGGATTTAAATGATCTGAGTCACTGTAAGACTATCTCTGTCTGCACTTTTCTAAACTTGCACTCGAGTTCCCCCAGAGGCGTAGGAAGGGGGGTGCGGTGGGTGCAGTCTGCCCTGGATGTCATGACTGAGGAGGGTGACAAAATGGCAGGCGAGTGGGCGGCACACCTCGCGCCTGGCGGCAACAGCTCTTAACCATCCTCAGCAATTTCCAAGTGGTCCACAGGAGGGCAGGGTGGACCACATTTGGGATCCCTTTGCTCTTGGTTGCTTCTGAAGAGCTGTCCCCTGCCTCCCCTTGCAGGCATCCCACCCGAGGAGAGCCCTCGCCGGGGTGGCCCAGCAGCCCCCTACCAGCAATCCCAGCGACTCAGCCTATACAGGGAAGCCGCAGAGCTGCTTCTGGAGAAGGGGGCTGCCTACCGCTGCTTTTGCACCCCCCAGCGCCTGGAGCTGCTGAAGAAAGAGGCTCTGAGGAACCGGCAGACGCCACGGTAAGGATCAGGTGGAGGTTAGACCTGGGTGTGCTCTCTGCGTGGCTGCTGACGCAACCTGGGTCCTGCTCAGCCGCAGGATTGCTACACGTCTCTCTGCCTTTGACAATTCTGCGTTCTTCCAAGGAGAGTCCTGAATGCTGGTGGGATGGGGGCTGACGTTTGGCTGATGGGGAATCAGGAGGCAGGGCTGGGTGAGTCCAAAGAATTGTCCGTGTGGGGCTCTGTGGAGTTCGGGCCTTGACCCAGCATGCTTACAATCAGGAATGGCCTTGATGGCCAGGAAAGGCCAGTGTTTTCCTTATCAGGCTTATCGGCTTCAGAGGCCTGTTTCTCAATCTCCAGCAGTATCTGGAACAATAGAGCAAGGACCTTTGCCTAATGCGTTGCAGGGAGCTGGACTAATTCTGTGAATCTAAGAGGGAAGGAGAGAGAAGCACTAGCTGTGGCCTGACGCCCCCTCCCCAAATTTCCTTCGTATATGTTCCTTGCTCTGTTGCTACTGTGGAGAAGGGCTTGGGAGATCTTTTGCTATGGCTGCTTGTGGGCAACAATTTATCCTGCTCAGAGTGAGAACTTGGAGGGTTTGGGGGTGGGGGCAAAATGTGTTAAGTCAAAAGCCACAGAGTACAGGTTCTCTTTGTGGGAGAGACAGAGAGGGAAAGAGTCATCAGCCATAATTGAAAAGGGGATGATGGGAACTATCGCTAAGACCATCTGTTTGTCTTCTTTTTTCTTTTTCTTATGTTTATATCCCACCTTTCCTCCAAGGAGCTTAAAGTGGCATACAGGATTTTCCCTTTCCTCATATTATCCTTACAAACAACCCTGTGAGGTAGGCCAGGCTGAGAGGCAGTGACTGGCCCAGGGGCCCCCCATTGAGCTTCATGGCTGAGTGGGGATTTGAACCCCAGTCTCCCAGGTCTTAGTCCAACACACTAAGCACTACACCACACTGGCTCTGTTTGAAACAAATCTGTTTGAATGATTTACTTGTTTTTACCTAGGTATTTTGTTAAATTGGAAATACAGGGTTTTTGTAGCTGTAATTTTCCTTGTTTAGTCATTTATTGTACCTGTTTTTGTGACTTTTTTACGTTGTTTTTCTCTTATTTTCATTGCTTTGTTCCCCACTCCGGGATTGAAAATACTGTGGGCTATAAATACTGCAAATGAATAATAAAAAAAATCAACAGGCAGGGAGTTCCTAAGTGCCAATGTGCAACCCCTGTAAAAGTACAAGTTCTGGAGACACATTTCCTGCCTCCATCAAAGGCAGGGTGGTCCGGTCAGCTGGGATTCTGGGTTTCTCAAAGCCTTGAAGTTTTGTGTTGGTTCAGTTGTATTAGAACCAGCTGCTTAGGTTATAGATGAAGCCTGCTGCTGCTGCTGTTTCTTCAGATATGATTCCTAACCCTGCCCCTCTCCTTACAGATATGACAACAGGTGCCGCCACCTGAGCCCCAAGCAGGTGGCCGAGAAGGTGTCTCAGGGCGCTGACTCTGTCATGCGCTTCCGCCTGGAGGAGAACTCGGAACCCTTCTGCGACCTGATCCACGGCTGGAGCAAGCACGTTGTCGCCAGCATCGAAGGGGATCCGGTGATCCTGAAGAGCGATGGCTTCCCCACCTACCACCTGGCCAACGTGGTGGATGACCACGTCATGGGGATCAGCCATGTCCTACGGGGGGCAGAGTGGCTCATCTCCACCTCCAAGCACCTCCTCCTCTACAGGGCCTTTGGCTGGGACCCACCTCAATTTGGCCACCTCCCGCTGCTCCTGAACAAAGACGGCAGCAAGCTTTCCAAGAGGCAGGGGGACATCTTTGTGGAGCAGCTTGCGCAGGATGGCTGGTTGCCCGAAGCCCTGCTGGACATCATGACAAATTGTGGCTCTGGATTTGCAGGTAATGAGGCCGTAGCCCTCAACACCCCAGCAGGCTGGCTCAGTTGGTGTGAATTCTCTGCTTGTATTTGAATCCTGCTTATAAAATTATGGGTGTCCCGCTTTTCCACCTTGTCTTGGCAAATGACTGTGTTCAGTGGAGTCTCTCCTGGAGCTGGTCCCTCCTTAGTAGGTAGTCCCTGGGCTTCCTGAGGCCTCCTGGGACATTTTCTGCTTAGCCCATCGCTGGAATCCTAGAGTTGTATGCCATTGATTCCAGTGGGTCCCAAAATGGGGTACAGTTGGATTAGCTGGGCAAGGGAGCTGCAGGCTGGTGCTAAAGGTGGAAATAATTATCATCAATGTTGATGAATGAATTAAATTAAAGGGGACCCCTGACCATTAGGTCCAGTCGTGACCGACTCTGGGGTTGCGGCGCTTATCTCGCTTTATTGGCCGAGGGAGCCGGCGTACAGCTTCCGGGTCATGTGGCCAGCATGACTAAGCCGCTTCTGGCGAACCAGAGCAGCGCACGGAAACACCGTTTACCTTCCCACCAGAGCAGTACCTATTTATCTACTTGCACTTTGACGTGCTTTCGAACTGCTAGGTTGGCAGGAGCAGGGACCGAGCAACGGGAGCTCACCCCATCGCTGGGATTCGAACCGCCGGCCTTCTGATCAGCAAGTCCTAGGCTGTGTGGTTTAACCCACAGCGCCCTATACATATCAATAAATTCTTGTTGGAGCATGTTTTTGTCATGTAATTCTTCTACACATTTCCATTCTTGTTTGAGATTTTAATTAATCTAATCAAAATCTAATCGGACCTCTTGGTTTCATTTGCAGATAACAGGATGGGCAGGACGTTGAAGGAGCTGATTGAGGAGTTCAACGTGAGCAGGATCGAAAGGCACTCGGCTCTGCTGGATCTTGAGAAGCTGTCTGAGTTCAACAGGTGGAGGAACCAGAGGGGCGGGGTAGCACCAGCTTCCATGCATTTCCTGGTTGGCTGTTGATCTGCGGGCTGTTTATCCCCTGTGGGGAGGTCTGCATCTGCTGAGCATCACCTTTTGGTCCCCTTCCCTGTTCCCTTCCTTGGAGTCCAGTCCCCCTCCAGCTCAGGGGGTCTCTTCTGCCACCTCCTTGAAGTCAGGCTGCATTCAGGGAAGAAAAAGCAAGATGTCACATAGGGTGCAAACAGGCATCGCTGAGAAACTGAGGAAGTGTATCCTAAAAGGTCATCCCACTCCCTATAGCTCAGCTGGTTAAAGCATGCTGCTGACACTGTCAAGGCTGCAGGTTCAATACCCATGTGGATATTCTAGCTGCATATTCTAGTACTGCAGGGGGATGGATTAAATGCTCCTCAGGTCCTTTCCAACTCTTCAGTTGTATGATGCTATGAAGTGTCTTTGTTTGTGTGTGCACAGGATCCACCTGACCCGTCGGATTGAAGATGACCTGCAACGGCAAGAGCTGGTGGCAGAGGTGCAGGCCTCTGTGGAGGAGACCTACGGGAGCCAGGTGGTAGACCGGGAGGTCCTTGAGAAGGGCTACGTGGAGCAGGTGCTGCTGCTTAGAATGGTAAGTCAGGCAAAGAGGGTGTGTGTGTCTGTGCACAAGTGTGCCTGCCTCTTTACTTTCTTGTTGTTGTTGTTTTAAATAAACTGCCAACATAACGAAAGGAAAGAAAACAAAGGCCCTAAATTTTAACACCGCAAAGCATCACATCCTGGGAGCACAAACGATACAGCACGTCTCTAAAGGGATAACGAAGTGTTAACTCAGACATAGATTTCCTTTACAAATAATAATGATAAATAAAAATAAGAGTGTCCTCCACCTGTGAGTGTCATCATTATGAAATAACACAGGCTTAAATGAGCCAGATGGTTTCCACTGGTGGCACTGAGTGACTGGGTGCCTCAATATTTGCATAAGAAATACTATTACAGTGGTACCTCGGGTTAAGTACTTAATTCATTCTGCAGGTCCGTTCTTAACCTGAAATCGTTCTTAACCTGAGGTACCACTTTAGCTAATGGGGCCTACTGCTGCTGCCGCGCTGCTGGAGCACGATTTCTGTTCTCATCCTGAAGCAAAGTTCTTAACCCGAGGTACTATTTCTGGGTTAGCAGAGTCTCTAACCTGAAGCGTCTGTAACCTGAAGCGTATGTAACCTGAGGTACCACTGTATTATTATTAATTGAGTTTATATACCACCTTATACCTGGAGATCTCAGGGCGGTTCACAGAAAAGATCACAACATATACAGTGGTACCTCAAGTTACAAACGCCTCAGGTTACATACGCTTCAGGTTACAAACTCCACTAACCTGGAAGAGTTACCTTGAGTTGAGAACTTTGCCCCAGGATGAGAATGGAAAACGTGTGCCAGCGGCACAGCAGCAGCAAGAGGCCCCATTAGCGAAAGCACGCCTCTTGTTAAGAACAATTTCAGGTTAAGAACAGACCTCCGGAAAGAATTAAGTTTGTAACTAGAGGTACCACTGTATAATCAGAATAAAAACAACAACCCAATAACACACACCCAGAAAAGAGCCACATTTTAGAAGGCTATAGGATGTCAAACAGATCAACCAAAGGCCTGGTTAAAAAGGAACATTTTTGCCTGGAGCCTAAAGGTGTATAATGAAGGTGCCAGGTGAACTTCATGCTATATATGTTTCCTAGCTGGAAACTCTTTGACTTTAAGGTAAGAAGGTGCCGTGGGGCAGGGAGAGATATGGTGTTGGGGTGGGGGCTCCAGCCAGGGGAACTGATCTGCCTGTCTCTCTGAACCTCAGTGGTCCTTCCCCCCCAGGGTCACATAAGCCGCCTCAAGGACTTGGTGTCACCCAAGTATTCTTTCTTGTGGATCCGGCCCTCCGTGCCTCACGAGGAGCTGCAAACCATTTCAGCAGAGGCAGACAAAATAGGAAGGCTGGTTCTCAGGTGAGTTGCCCCGGACCTTGCCTGTTTGTTTGTTTTTTAACCCATTGGGATGTTGCAGCCACCTAGAGGTCTGGCCTCCTCCACCTTCCTCCTCACCTGAGTGACAGCAGGTACTTTCCATGCTGGAGTAAGCGCTTGTTTTCAGCCGGTCTCCCTCATATGGTAAATAAACAGTAGAACCTTACATTATCTCAGCTGGTAAAGTATGAAACTCTTAATCTCAGGGTTGTGGGTTTGAGCCCCACGTTGGGCAAAAGATTCCCCCACATTTGAGCCCCATATTGGGCATTGCAGGGGGTTGGACTAGATGACCCTCGTGGTCCCTTCCAAGTCTACAATTCTATGACTCTTGCCACATGAAGGGTCTTCTGCAAGTGAAACAACCTGCCCTGCATAATGGATATGATAAATCACTTGGCAGTAGCTTTTCCAAGTGAAAACTGAGCCACAGTTTAGAAAAACGAGTTTAAAGTAATATCCTTTCTTCTTCTTCTTTTCTTCCCAAAGGTTGCTGGAACAGCCGGTGGCTGCTCTGACCCCAGAGGAGCTGGGCAAAGACCTGAGGCGGCTTCAGGAGCAGATAAGTGGGACCCAGTACAGTGGCATGATGAGACTTCTCCGCTTGGCCCTCAGTGGCCAGAAGGTAAATTTCCCCTGGCCCTGCTTCCCAAATCTCATCATCTGAATTGCTCTGCTTTGAAAGCCAATAGCTGGCTTGGCTTTGCTAATGGACCTCAGTGGTAGTTGCTGCATCTCTTTAAAATAATCGAAAGAGCCATCCTGGTAGACAGCCTATCAGTTAAATCAGTGAAATCAGTTAACACGGATGGACCATTCCTGACAATTAATAATGAAAAAGTATGAGCAAAAACCCACAGGTCAAGCTAGAGCTAGAATAAAACCAAGAATAAGTATGGATAGCTCAGTTGGTTAGAGCATGGTGCTGACAATGCCAAAGTTGCAGGTTCCATTCAGGGACAGCTGCATATTCCTGCATTGCAGGGGATTGGACTAGACGATCCTCTGGGTCCCTTCCAACTCTATGATTCTGTGAGCCCTCCCCACACCCCGAGGCATGCCCTGATCAGCAAGTCTTTACTTGGCGCCTGAATGGCAACATGAAGATGCCAGCTAAACACCTAATACAGGTTGCCAGTTTTTAAAATGTTGTTCCATTTATTGGGCAGCGCTGAAATCATAGGAAGCTGCCTTCAGATGTCTTCTAAAAGTCACATACTTGTTTATTTCCTTGACATCTGGTGGGAGGGTGTTCCACAGGGCGGGCGCCACCACCAAGAAGGCCCTATGCCTGGTTCCCTGTAAGCTCACTTCTTCCAGTGAGGGAATCGCCAGAAGGCCCTCGGAGCTGGACCTCAGTATCCGGGCTGAACGATGGAGGTGGAGACGCCCCTTCAGGTATACTGGGCCGATGTTGTTTACTCAGGAGGAGTGGTGGTACTGTAGCTACAAAGGTTGTAGAGCACTCCATCAATGGAATTGTGGTATGAATATGGAAGAGGGAGTGATGTAATGGAGGCCTCTCAGACTCTAGCTTCCACAGAGCTTCAGGAGCTCCGGTTTTCAAGTAGGGAGGTGTTCCTTCCCAGTTAGCAGGGGCTCCCCCTCCCTTTCTGGAGTAACCTCCCTGTCCATTTCAGGAAGGACCCAGCGTTGCTGAGATGATGGTCTCCTTGGGGCCCAGAGAGGCCAGCGCACGGATCCAGAGAGCCCTTTGCAGCTGACCTGTTGAAGCAAAACAGCCAACCAAACTTTCAATAGAGCTTGCATGTCAAGCCTTCCACGAAGCTCAGACACCTTCCTGTGGACTGCAGAGCATCCCACAGCCACGGACTTGACCCCTTCTCTCTCTCTCTTTAAAAGTGCTCTGGGGTTGGCAGCCTGGCATTGGCACTGAGACCCTAAGGGGATTTCCGGTTCTAGTTGAGTCTGACGTGGCATTAATAAAGAAAGCAAAAACACTGGCTGGAGGTCAAAGTGCTGCTGTGATCGCTTTCCACGTGGCCTCGCAGCCATTGTCACCCCGCTGGGCATTCCTTCAGGACTGGGGAGCAGCCTCAACCTTGGAAGCCACAGGAGAGTGAGCCAAACCGAAAGTCCAGTTCCATAGAATTCAAAGGGTATTTTTATTGCATTACAATCTCAGAGATAATTAATTGCAGTAGATTGGACTAGATGACCCTTGGGGACTTTCCCCACTCTACAATTCTCTGGTTCTATGAAAAGGAGCAATAAAATACAATTGAAAATCAATATGAATCTTTAATGTGACGTTTGCACCATCATCAGCCATAAATCCACAGAGATGTGTGGTCCTGCTGGGTGTTACAGCATCTCTTGTGCTCAGCCTAGTCTCTCTGCCCAGGGCTGGATTAACCATTAAGCAAAATAAGCATGTGCTTAGGGCATCAAGGGAAGGAGGACACCATAGGAATTTCCCCTTGGTGCAGCTGAACACAAACATCATTTCTACAACTATGCAAAAATAAACATTACTTTCCATCTTACTGTAGTTTTCGTTTCATTTCAAAAAGTAAAAATTTATATTACAGTTTATTATTGTTTATATTTTGAATTAGATATACGTGGGGGCACCAAAATCTTTTCATGGCATAGGGCCTCCAAAGGTCTTTGCCCCTCTGAGCACCATTTTGGGATGTCTTTCCAGAACAAGGGTAGTGCCCTCCGCAGACATCCCTATATGAGCAACCTTGAATGGCTCAGACTGCGACCCTTTGTGGTGAAGGAAGGTGACTCTTCCAAGTCAAGTGTGGCTACAGGCTGGCTTGGAAGGTAAGCAAGCAGCGGGGGGCCTGGGAAGCAGAGTTCAGTCTATCAGCTCTGCTGTGGCAGCTCTCACCAGGCCTCCTTTCCCCTCCGCTGTCTCCTGGGGAGACTGCCATTCCGGCAGACTGCCTCGGTGCAAGAGAGAGCTGGGGAGCAAGGCCCATTACATTTTGCTAAATGCCCAGCTTGCTAAAAGCAGAGACATCACCTTGCCAACAAAGGTCCGTATAGTTAAAGCTATGGTTTTCCCAGTAGTGATGTATGCAAGTGAGAGCTGGACCATAAAGAAGGCTGATCGCCAAAGAATTGATGCTTTTGAATTATGGTGCTGGAGGAGACTCTTGAGAGTCCCATGGACTGCAAGAAGATTAAACACATCCATTCTTAAGGAAATCAGCCCTGAGTGCTCACTGGAAGGACAGATCCTGAAGCTGAGGCTCCAATACTTTGGCCACCTCGTGAGAAGAGAAGACTTCCTGGAAAAGACCCTGATGTTGGGAAAGATGGAGGGCACATGGAGAAGGGGACGACAGAGGACGAGATGGTTGGATAGTGTTCTTGAAGCTACCAGCATAAGTTTGTCCAAACTGCGGGAGACAGTGGAAGACAGGAGTGCCTGGTGTGCTCTGGTCCATGGGGTCACGAAGAGTCAGACATGACTAAATGACTAAACAACAGCAACAAATGCCCAGCTCTATGATGCACCTTCTGTCCCTGAGCTGGCCCAGCTGGTCATTACAGGAACAACTGTCTAGAAGTTGGTGCCTGAGTTTTGATTTTCTTCCCTCCCTCCCTGTCCCTTTCCCTTGCCTGTCCTGTCATTTCTCTTAAGATTGTAGACCTGAGGGTAGGGACTGTCAGGCCTTTTTGGCTGAAGAATAGGGCACAAAACAAACAATAGATAAGCTGACCCAGGCAGGGTCCTAAGGCCAGCCATGTTGGGGGTGGGGAGGGGAACGGTATTCTGAGTCACTCTCCCCCCTTTATCTTTAATAGATTTGGCCATTGTCTGATACTTCTCTATTTCAGCCCACTATTCTCTTCTGGCTGGGGTATCCCAGTTCTCTCTAGATTCGGGCGGCCCAGCTAAGTGAGTTGCTGGGCTTTGGGAAAGCCGTGCAAGGGCTTGGAGGGTGCATGCACCCCTCAGACCACCCACTGGACTACCCCACTCTAGATTAAGGTGGCTATCCTGGTGCCCCCTCCAGATGTTGTTGGACTATTCCCCTTGACCACTGGCCAGTGTTGGCTGTGAGGCTGATGGGAACTGGCCCCCATCCCCAGGTCATAGAGCAGTGGTTCTGAAAGTGAGTGTTACAACCCCCTGGGGGCAGTGGAGATACCTAGCAGCGCACCAATGTGTGTCAATGACTATCTGACTTTGAAAAGCAGGTATCACTCGATCAAGTTCCTCAGTTTTGTGGAATCACTCAAACTACAGAGTTTAATTGGGTTTTGCATTAATGTGCAATTGAGGTAATTCTTAATAAAATGTGCAATCTATTAATTTTGAATTGTATTGCATTATTATCTTCCTCGGGGTGGTGATAACTACTATTCTGACTATAGTAATGCTTTTCAGAGGGCAGAGGGTAGAAGATGAGTTTATGCGACCAAGAGGTCCAAAATAGCTTAGGAACCACTGAGCTATAGGCAAACATTTCCAAAAACAAAAAAATCCAAATCCTTAGAGAAGAGCCTCACTTCCATTAGGCCAACCCAAATGTTGCAAAGGAGTGGGCAAACTTTTTCCCACTTCCAGCCTGACAAGAACATTGCTGTAATATGGATTATCGTTATTTTTCTTGTGGGCCTGAGGCTTTGGTTTTTAATTGTGCTTTTCCAAGCTGATGTGAACACTAATCCATTTTGAGTCTATCATTTTAACTTCTCGAAAGTTTTACATTATTGCTGTTCATTTTTCTTATAATTTTGTTGGTTGTTTTTTTTTTTTTTTTGGTAAACCACTTTACGCTGTTTTATTAAGCGATGTATAAATCTATCTGCCCCCTGTCCTCTCTCCCCTTATGCTCCCGTTGCCTCCACCCTCCGCCAATGTTTTGCCCCTAGCCGAGCTGCCCGAGGCGCGGAGCCCCCGGGGAGAGGCTGCTCTGGGCGGCTTCCCGGTCCCTCGCGGCGGCTTCTGGTGCGCTTTTCCCCAGCGGGGCTCCAGTGCCAGGCCCGGGGCTGCTCCTGGCCTCCGCCTGTTGCTGCCCAGCGCCGGGCGCGGAGGCGGCGCTCCGGCTGCCTCTCTCCGCCCCGGGCGGGCGCCGAGGCGGGGTCTGGGCGCCGGAGGGTCGTCCCACCCGGGGCTGGGCGTGCCGGGCCAATTTTCTGCCCGGCCGAGGAAGAGGGAGGCAGGCCATGGCGCGGGCGGCTCCTCCGGGCGCGCTGGAGCTGCTGCTGCGTGAGTGTGGGGAGGAGAGGGAGGGCGCTCTGCACGCGCTCAGAGGCTACGGCGCCTGGCTGGCCGCCTCTCCGGGCTGAGTTCCGCGGAGCTTGGCTCCTTGGCTCCTGAGACGCGGGAGGAGGAAGAAAGGACACCCCACCCGGCCGGCCCGGCCCTTCGCTCCCAAATCTGGCATATGAGCCTGGAGGGGGGTGTCTTGGAAAGCTCTCACCGCTGGGAGCTTTTCTTGCAAACCACCCGAAGCGTCAAACGGTGCAACTCGGAAGCGGTTTTGCGCCAGGCGGCTTAAACTGGCCCCCTTAGGCAAGACGGAGTCAAAGTGGCTGCGTGTTTTTTCAACCCAGACTGGGGGACCCAACAGTTTTGCCTTCCGATTTCTCCCCCCGTCAAAGCTGTTTTGATACTCCTTTTATTCAATGTTGCCGACTCTCTCTCTCTCTTTTTTTAATTTGAGGGCAGATCATTTGGGGATCTTCTAGTTTCGTCATGTTTGAGGTACTTCTTGCTTCCTGGACTTAATAACCTGATATTTTGCCATAATTTTTTTAAATTCGATCCCCACTCTTGACTCAGGTGGGCTTAGTCAGACTTAAATACCTCATCATTCTCCCTTCTTTTTAAAACTTTTGTTTTGTTTTGTTCAGACAAGCCTTTACAAAATGATGTTTTGTTTTAATCAGTCAGTGTCTATTGATATTCACTGATAAATTTTAACCATGTTTTTATGGCCATTTGCTGATTTTTATAACTTTATATGTTGTACTCTACCTTGCTGTGTTTCCCCCCCCCCTTGAAAGTGTGGATTATAAATGCATAAATAAATAAATAAATAATGTAAGATATATATATTTTTTTATTGGCCCATTATCCTCACTGCTTTTATTCATGGGCAATTTCTTACTGCTCTTGCTCAAAGTTAAAGACATATGAAGAGCCTTTTTGGAATCTGGCCCAAAGCCCATCTGGGCTGGCATCCTGTTCTCACAGTTACCAACAAGATGCCCATGGGAAGCTAGCAAAGCAAGCAGGCCTGGGCACAAGGGCACTTTTCCCTCCTGTGGCTTCCAGCAACTGGCATTCACATGCATTGCTGCCTCTGACTAGTTTCTGCAAATAAGAGTAACTCCGTGTTTAGTTTTGTTGTTGTTGTTGTTGTTGTTTTAATAAAAACAAGAGTACACATTCCCAGCTAATTCTGGCTTCAGGGCTGTCTGTTGTATAAATGCTTCCCTAAATCAAATGCCTTCATTACAGAAAAAAGGATTATTTTCTCACTCTATAAAAAGCTTTCTCTGACGCAAGGGAAAAAAGCCCTGTAATTTTTTCTGTTCTGATTTGAGCCAGCAGTAATCTGATGCAATCTGACGTTTTCCTGCCAGGCATGAAAATGCATCTGATCAATGCCTGTATATTTATCAGTCAATTTGCCAATACAGTAGATAGCATTTCAAAATTCTGTTGGAGAGAACTGGTGGAAAGAACATTCTCCATCCTCTTTACACCTCATCCTCTTTACACCTGGATTTCCCTTCCTAATTAAAGAGCCTGACCATTCATTTGTTAACTGCGCAATCCTATATGTGTCTACTCAGAAGTAAGTCCTGTTGAGTTCAATAGGGTTAGTCCCAGGTGAGTAGGTATAGGATTGCAGCCTAAATGCTGTATATTCTCTTATAAGTGCAACGGTTTCATTTTTCTTTAACTGCTCAATAACTTGGTTTTTGTCAACTGAACAGAATTATTAAGCACCATTCTCTCTTTTGAGGATATTGCAACAATTTCTAACTTCCCTTAAAAATCTGCAGTCTTCAAAACTCTCAGAAACAAAAAGATTTCTAAGATACACTCTGCCCGCAGTTTGTCTCTTTCTTTCATAGCAAACCTGCTCTTGTTTCTTTTTTCTAACTAAAAGGTTGGATCTTCCCTGTTGTTTCTTGGCTGCCAACAAAACTACAAAATGTAAAAACACACACACACCAAAAACTCAGTTTATTCTTTGTTTTATCAGTGGGCATATCTAAAGCTTTTAAAATCTTCATCCAATATTATCTCATCCTCTTCAAAGTATCTAATTTCTTTTAAACAAAGGCCTTCCTTTCTGTGTACCATTTACTTTACGGTTGTTATTTTCATCCTCCCACTTGAGACTTTCAACACAAATCTCCCATCAGTATCTATTTTTATTAATATTTACTGAATTCATGCCTCGCCTTTCCTCCCCAAGGAGCCCAGGCTAGCAAACAAATACACAATGTGAAAAGGAAAGCAAAAATGGATGAAAACATTCTAAGAGCAGTTGCAACTTGAATACCCTAAAACAGTTACAGTTAAAAATAGTCTAAAAGCAATTGCAATCAATAACATTCTTCCATTCACTGATCTTGGAGTTTCCAGGAACAGCCACCAACAGATGTGCAGGTAAACAAGAATGTTTTCAGGTTCCTTTTGAAAGTTGCTAGCAATGGAGACAGGCACACCTCACTAAGGAAGACATTTGCACAACTGGGGAGCCACCACTGAAAAGGCCCCTGTCTGGTGACTATTTCTTCCTCTCCTTCCTAGCTTATTTTCTAAATACACTGCAGCCCCCTTAGATATGGTTGCCTGGGGGAGAGGACTAGGCTGCCTCCCAAGCATAAAGCTATTTCACTTTCTGCTCCCTTTCTCTTTTCTGCGTCCTTTCACTGGCAACAGAGCAGGGCTGGGGCTGGATAGCAGGCAACACCTGGGGCCGATCAGACATTGGTGTTTTGCCCAGCTGTGCTGCACTGTTGTGACACTTCCCAACCTTGTCTTCCATGGCAGACAAAGCCACAGACCCCAGTAACCCTGAGGAAAACTGGGAATGTATCCAGAGGTTTAGCGACCAGGTCAACGCAGATGCTGACAGGTAAGGCTGCACTGGGTGAGGAGAACCTTTTGCTGGGCCACTTCCAGCTCGAGGTGGATTTGGAAGTTGGCAAAGGTTTTGTCTTGAGCATGGAGAGGTGGTCAGAGTTTAAAAGGTAAAGGGACCCCTGACCATTAGGTCCAGTCGTGGCCGACTCTGGGGTTGCGGTGCTCATCTCGATTTATTGGCTGAGGGAGCCGGCGTACAGCTTCCAGGTCATGTGACCAGCATGACTAAGCCGCTTCTGGCGAACCAAAGCAGTGCACGGAAACGCCATTTACCTTCCCGCCGGAGTGGTACCTATTTATCTACTTGCACTTTGATGTGCTTTTGAACTGCTAGGTTGGCAGGAGCAGGGACCGAGCAACGGGAGCTCACCCCGTTGCGGGGATTTGAACCGCTGACCTTCTGGTCAGCAAGTCCTAGGCTCTTTGGTTTAACCCACAGCGCCACCTGCTTCAGAGCTTGTGTTACCCCAAAGTTCTGTTTGCTACCCTTTGCCCATGTGCAGAGGCACTACAGCAGGGCAGATTTTGGGAGATTCCCAGGCAGTGCAGGAGAGGGGAGAGCGCCTCTGTCCTCTTCTTGCGGTGTGTGGTCAGATTCTGGCTTGCAGTTGTTGCATTGTGTGTGGGTTGCTTGTGTTTCCTTGCCCAGGAATCCCTTGAGCCTTGGGCACTGTTTGCTGAAAGCAAACGAATTCTTGAGAGCTTTTGCATCTCCTAAAACATAGCAGCTGATTGAAATTTGAATGTCTGGCAATGTTCCTTGACTGGGGATGGGCTTGGAATGAACCTCAGCTCTCTTTCTGCACAATTTCTGCTCATTCCATCCTTTTCTTGCGTGGCATTTTATGTCATGCCAAGAGTGTGCTTGAGCTCCTTTGGCGGAGATGATCTATTGTTTCTTGAGGAGCAGTTTCGCTTCTTGTGGCTCAAGCACCTATCTGCTTTCTTTTGCAGTTGTTTCTGGTCAAACAGGTTCAGCTGGCTTCTATATTGCGTGAAAAGCCTGTACAACCTGTTGGCAAGGTGCCAGACTGGAGCATGTTTAGCCATCATGAACAGCAGTGATCACTCTTACAAATCACGTTCAACACTCTCAGAGAAAAAACAACGAGTGGTTTACCTCCACTCCTCAGCTACTTTCCTGTAGAGACTGAGAAAAAACCCCAATATTCAGCAGATATTACCCTAAAATGTCATGCAGTTGGAAGTGGCAGGTGTCAGCTGCCTATGAGATATCCCTGGATCTTGTGTGGCAAAAGCAGAGAGCTGGTCTTGGGTGCAGAAGTACAGCTCTTCTCTTGCCCATCACTGAGCAAACTGCCCTCTTCCTCTTGAAAACATAGGAAACTGCCTTGTGCTAGCTCAGGGTTGTGTGCATGCTGACTGGCAGCTGTGGCTCTCCAAGTTTTTCAGGCAGGGAGTATTCCCCCCCCAGCCCTTCCTGGACCTTCTGCATGCCAAGCAGATGCTCTCCCATTGAGCTTTGCCCTCCCCCCCGACAGCAATAGCCACCTGTCTCCTCTGGTTGTGAAGGTGAATTCAAGAATGATTTCAGGGACTATGGCATGACTGTTTTTCTTTTTTTACCTCTCTCTCAGCATTGCTGCAGCTCTGAAGTTGCTGGAACATAAGATCCAGTCGCCGCAGGAGGCAGAGGCTCTGCATGCGCTAACCGTAAGTGTACCAGGGCCTGGAAATCCTGGGTTCAAATTCCCACTTGGACATGAAGGGTGACCTTGGGCCAGTTGCTGCCTCTCAGTCCCATAACTGGTTTGTTGTGGGGATTAAATAAGAAGAGGGAGAACTATGTACTTGCTCTCCTTGGAGAAAAAGGTGGGATATAAATGCAAGAAATAAGTGTGAGCATTGTGCAGCCCAGTGTGTCCTGCAGTATCCTGGACACAGGGATATTGTGCATGCAAAGCCTTGCATTTCCTCTTTGGAGTCCAGGCTTCTTGTTCCCCCTTTTGCTGTGTGGACAGAGCAGCTGCTGCTGAGCATCTGGGTTGAGAATTCTGCAGTTTGGTGGTTCTTTTTTTCCTCTTTTTGAGGGGGAGCTTCCTGCTCTTGTAGCTTGTCACATCTGCATTACACAACCTTTGTCGTCCCTCCAGCCATCCTAATCAGTCTCAGCCTGATTGAGTCCACCTTCTCCTACCTCATTTGTTCACTGAGCTATGCCTGACAACTGGCACTGCTTGGAACACCTTCCCTGCTTATTCTGAACAGCCTGTTAGCTTAGGCTTGGAATCAGTTATCAGTGCCAGGGGTCAGTTGTGGCCAGTGTGACATTATTAAAAATGCAGCGTCTGTGAGCATGTGCAGAGTATTTTTCTCCTTCCTGAAGTTCCCATATCGAGATGAGCAAGGGCAGATATGGATTAACCAACCCAGAATCTCTCTGCCAGCCTTCATCAACCTAGTGACTGACCTGTAGGTGTTTTCCCACCACAAATGCTGGCTGCAGCTGATAGGAATTGCAGTCCAAAATGTCTGGAGAGCACCCAGCCAGTGATGGCTGCCCTTTGCACTTCTATTTGACTTAGAGAAAATAGCACCACCCCTCCCTGCAACCCTGGGTCCCCTTTTCTGCTGCCTTTACCTAGAGAAAGTTACCTGGCTCTGTTTTCTGCACCTTTTGTCGTCACCTTGAATGGCTTGGTGACCCCACTGCCTAAGGACAAGGCTGGCGTGATGGGGTCTTGGGGGCTCCCTGTGGATTTGCCCGCTCTTTTAGGATCAAGGTTTGTGTTTGCCTCTTTCTCCCTACGAGGTCTTGGAGATGTGTGTGAACAACTGCGGAGAGAATTTCCATCATGAAATGGGGAAGTTCCGATTTCTCAACGGTCTCATCAAGGTCCTTTCTCCCAAGGTAAGTGCCCAGGAAGGTGAAGCTCAGAAATTCAAAGTGTTGGTACTGACCTTTAAAGCCCTAAACGGCCTTGGCCCAGTATACCTGAAGGAGCATCTCCACCCCCATCGTTCAGCCCAGACACTGAGGTCCAGCTCCGAGGGCCTTCTGGTGGTTCCCTCACTGTGAAAAGTGAAGTTACAAGGAACTAGGCAGAGGGTCTTTTCAGTAGTGATACCCGTCCTGTGGAACATCCTCCCATCAGATGTCAAGGAAATAAACAACTATCTGACTTTTAGAAGACATCTGAAGGCAGCCCTGTTTAGGGAAGTTTTTAATGTTTGATGTTTTGTTGTGTTTTTAATATTCTATTAGGAACAGCCCAGAGTGGTTGGGGAAACCCAGCCAGATGGGCAGGGTATAAATAATAAATTATTATTATTATATAGAAAAAGAAGCCTGGAAGGGAGGGGGCCCTTGTCAGAAAAGGGGTGGCTGGGCGGTCTCTTCAGAAGGGCCTCCTCAGACAGTGGCGTAGCGTGGGTTGTCAGCACCCGGGGCAAGGCAAGTAATTTGCGCCCCCTAACCCGTGGATTTGCGCCCCCTAACCCTAACCCCCAAATGTTGCACCCGGTGCGGCCGGCCCCCCCTGCACCCCCCACGCTACGCCACTGTCCTCAGAGTCCTAAAGGTCAAGATAAAGTTGGGGTTGTGTGTGGTTGTTTTTAAAAGAGGGGTGGATTCTGTACTTCCAGCAACATCTGCAGGGCCACTGGTTATCCCCCGTTCCCACTGTTAAGGGTACAGGTGCATCCTTTGAAGGCATAAAACATCTGAAATGTACAAGGATTTATTTTGCGTGGGTGGAAGTACAAGATGCCGCGGGCACAGTCTTGCTTTGTGAGGAGCCGGGGACTCCCCAAGGTGGTGGTCTTTCTTCTTCTGGTTCCAACCATCTTTACTTTGGGCTTCCCAGTATCTCGGAGAGTGGTCGACGGACAGAGTCAAATCCCGCATCGTCGAGCTGCTGTTCAGTTGGATGGTGTGGTTTCCTCAGGAAGTGAAAATCCGCGACGCTTATCAAATGTTGAAGAAACAAGGTCTCCATTTAGCTGTTTCTTCTGTCTGTGTTCTCCCCTACCCCCTTCCCATCTCAAAGTCACATGGCCTTAAACCACAAGCCTGCTGACCAAAATTCTTCTAACAACCTTTTCCCTCACGAGGTTTTTCCGTGAGAAAGCAGAACAAAGTATTTTTCTTCCTGGGACCACAAAAAAGGGGTTTTGCAGCTTTACCTCTCTTATCTCTTCTAAATTACTTACTGTGGTGGGTCTATTTATTTACAGTGGTACCTATGGTTACGTACTTAATTCGTTCCGGAGGTCCGTTCTTAACCTGAAACTGTTCTTAACCTGAAGCACCACTTTAACTAATGGGGCCTCCCGCTGCCGCCACGCTGCCGGAGCCCGATTTCTGTTCTTATCCTGAAGCAAAGTTCTAATCTGAAGCACTATTTCTGGGTTAGCGGAGTCTGTAACCTGAAGCGTATGTAACCTGAGGTACCACTGTATTGCCCTTGTATCTCCTCATTTTCTTCCAAGAAGCTCAAGTTGGCCTCCATTTTCTCCTCACTTATTCCTCACAACAACCATGTGAGGTGGCTAAGGCTGAGAAGTGGTGACTGCCGAAGGTCACACCTATTGAGCTTCATGGCCAGGTGGGGAGGTTTGAACCCTGGTCTCCCAGGTCTTAGTCCGCCACTTTTTTTTGCCAATTAATTTTTATTCATTTTCAAATTTATAAAACATCAAAACCAAATTTAATTTAATTTAAATACCTCCCCCCCCAACTGCTTTCCCACTCTCATATATACTCCAATCCATCCCCTTTAGCATACTGCTTTAACATTCATCTCTAACGATCATCCATTTTAAAAAACAAATTCTAGTCCAACACTCTTAACAGCTGCATCCAAAAGTTTTTGCAGTGGAATCTGAAGCCTTGCAGATGACAAATTGCAGGCGGTTTAAGGCCAGCTTTTGCTCCTTTGCTTTCAATGTTTAGTTTCTTGCATTTTGAATCTCTGAATTCCAGGCTCGGGCAACTAGCTTTAAATGCCTTTTCTGTTGTGATTTGTCATTTTAAATGGCCCCTAAGCATCCTTGAACTGTGAGTGTGCCAACACTGCAAAGATTTATTTCAGGGATCGTCAAACAAGACCCCAAACTACCGGAAGACAAAATTCTGCCACCACCTTCTCCACGGCCGGCTAGCTCCATTTTTGATGCTGATGATGAGAAATCCAAGGTAACCTGCTCCTCCTTGTGGTCAAGCTGGACGCTGCACCGCCACTATTGCTCATGTTAATCATGGACTTGGGTAGTGGGTGCCGACAGGGTGACCCACAGGGGCCCCTGACAAGCCTTTTGGGGATTGAATCAAGGACTTTCTGCATGCAAAGCAGACTTTTGTCCCCTGAGCCTACAGCCCTTCCCTTGTTTTTTTTTTTAAATATCCTGGTTATAAAACTTTATTCTGAGAAATGCTGCTTTTTCCATGCAAAACCAGACCATCTGAAAGCCTTGTTGGTAAATATTCAAAGCAGCCCTTTTTTAAAAAAAGTAGGAGTCTCTCCCCCCCCCTTTTTTTTTTTTGCTCCTGAACAGCTTTGCTTGAGACGAAATGTACCATTGACTGTGCGGTGATGCTTCTGGCCTGGTCCTCACCTTCTCCCCTCCTCTCCTCAGCTTTTAACAAGGCTCCTGAAAAGCAAAAACCCAGAGGACCTTCAGGCAGCAAACAGGCTGATCAAAGGGATGATCAGAGAGGTAGGCCTTCTCTCTGCCATTTCCCCCCATTGTCTGGCAGCATCTGGTGCCAGAGGGCTCCATTCTCATGGAGAAGCCAGTGTGGTGTAATGGTTAAAGTGCTGGACTATTACCTGGAAGAGACCAGGGTTCTAATCCCCCCTCAGCCATGAAGCTCACTGGATGTGACTTTGGGCCAATTATTGCATTATTATTACCCCACTCGTCTGACTGGGTTGCCTCTGGGTGGCTTCCAACAAATATAAAAACCTTCAGATGTCTTCTTAAAGTTGTATAGTTACTTAACTCCTTGACATCTGATGGGAAGGCATGCCACAAGGTGGGCGCCACTACCAAGAAGGCCCTCTGCCTGTTTCTTTGTAACTTCACTCCTTGCAGCCTCACCTACCTTACAGGGTCATTGTGGCGATTAAATGAAGTGCAAGAGAACCATTTATGAATAGGGGGGAGAATCCTTGAGTTCTTTGGAGAGAAAAAGATATAAAGGCAACCAATAAAGAAATGCAGGCACAGATTCTTAGGTGGTTGTCTTCAAACTTTCTCTGGTTTGCTTTTCTAGGGCTCAGTTTATTATCAGACCTTGGTATGAGAGGAACAAGCTGAGGCTGCTAATTGCTTAGGGGAAATGCCTTGTGACCTAGAATCATAGAGTCACAGAATTGTAGAGTTGGAATAAGGGTCCCAGGGGTCATCTAGCCCCACCCTCTGCAACACATAAATCACAGCTAAAGAATCTGAGTGTGTTTGGCCCATTGCAGGAGCAGGAGAAATCAGCCAAGGTCTCCAGGCGACTGAACGCTCTGAAGGAAGCCCACAGCAACGCAGAGGCATTGGAGGAGATGCTGAGAAGCTGGCAAGAAAGCAAGGGAGCCGGGACCCCCACGTCAACCCTGGAGCTCCTGCAGGTAAGTCCTGCTCACTCCCTTCCCCCTCCCCCCGACCCTTGGGGAGCACCTCTGAAGTCCAGGCATGGAAGGCACAGCAGCTAGTGTGCTCTGTAAGGCCTTTCTCCAGGGAGCCCCATATGCTCCAGAACCTCCCTCTGCCTGGCTATGGGGAGGGGGCTCTTGAGGACAATGGTGGGGCCTCTGCAGTATGCATTGGTTGACTCGTTTGTCACCAGGGGAGAGAGAGGACCTCTGTTTTCAGATTCCTTCCCACAATTCTCAATGAATACCACTTGCTGGGAATCACACAAGGTGGGAAAGCACTGCCGTTGGTGCACCCAGGTCCTGTCTGCGGGCTTCCCATTGTGGCATTTTGTTGGCCTCCTTAGTGAGGAGAGGATGTTGGGCTTGATGAACCTCTGGCTGCAAGGTTTTTTCTGATGTTCTTCAGTTGCATATATACCCCTCTGGCTAGAAAACTGGACTGGGCTTAACTGAATTCTGGGTGCCTGGAATCTGCCCTGAAACACGTGGCGGAATATTATAACAGCACGATGAATAAAGTGCCTCTGAGCATGCGTGGTGCGCTTTCCTCCTCCCCTCGGGCCACAGCTGGGGTGGGGTGGGGCTAGCTCAGCTGGGCTGTGAGGCTGAGCCAGCGGCACTTCCACTCTGGCTGTGTCCTTCCACAGGCCACGTTTGCCAAGTGCGAGAGGCTGAAGCCGCTGCTCTTCCGTGTGGCCAGCGAGACGGTGGAAGACGAAGAGGCTCTGGGTAAGAACAGGAACAACAAACAAGGGAAGGGAAGTGGAGGGGCTGGGCAGGGGTGTGTGTGTAGAGAGAGGGATGTTACAGAGGCCCAATAAATGCAGTTTTGTCCTGGCTGAGAAGGGAACAGCTGTCCCCTATTCTCTGTACCCTCAAATTAGGAAACTGCTGGATTTGAAATCACTTGTATTTATTTTTTGTATGTAATTTTTATTAAGTTTTCTGTTTTACAATTTAAGATACTCGTTTTACATCCTTAAGATATCAGTGACTTCCCTTCTTCTCTTTCCATGGTTCATTTCACATATCATAAATCCCTGCATATTTTACAAAAACTATACCATTCAGTATTTCATTGTGGCATCCATCAAAACTTATTTACACTGTTTAATTTATCTTAATGCTGCCAATGTTTTCAGCTGTACATCATTATTTTCCATATATTCAACAAATGTTTTCCAATCTTCTTTAAACGTATGTTCTTGTTCTCTTATTCTATTTGTTAAGTCTGTGAGTTGTGCATATTCTGTCAACTTAAGTTGCCATTCTTCTTTAGTTGGGACCTCGCTCGTTTTCCATTTTGGGGTGAAATCAATTTTATTAGATGGGGTTTGTGTGTGTTTTGTTAGCCCCGAGAATTAGAATTCCAGGGTTTTAATTTGTTAACAGGGGTAACTTAATTTTTTTTTAATGCTAATAATACAGAACACATGGAACAAAGCAGCCCCCACCCTACAAATAACAATTGTTTTCTTGTAATTGTTGAGTGAAGCTCGTGGTGCAAATTCTCACTCTTGTTGCTTCTGTAGGGGAGGTTCTGCAGGCAAGTGACAGGCTCACACGGGTGCTGTGCTCTTACAAGGACGTTGTGGGTACCGCTGGGGATTCTGGGACCAGCTCTGGTGGTGCTGCTGGTAGGTCAAGGTTGGCAAGGCTGTCCCTGTCTTGTAAAGGGTCTGGGGGAGGCCCTGCTTGCAGTGAACCCAAGGGGCAGATTGAGATGGGCTAGGGTGAATCATAGTAGAGTTGGAAGGGACCACATTTGTCCAGTCATCTGCAATGCAGGAACCTTTTGCCTAATGTGGGACTCAAACCCACTACCCTGAGATTAAGAGTCCCATGCCCTACTGACTGAGCTATCATACAGGTGCCTTTTTGTTCTTCAGAGTTGTTGGGTAGGGATCTAAAGAGGGGGGTGAGGAGGTGGCTTTGAGAAGGAAGGAAAAAAGGAGGGTCAGAAGGGCGAGCAGAAAACCACATCAGGTGACTACTCCGTTTTGCGAACCACAAACTGCAGGATGGCCCCCTTTTTAAAAAAAGCTACCAGCTCTTTAAGTCTCTGCTTTGAAGCACCACAGTAAACGAAAACATTCTGCTCTGCAGGTCAGGATAGTCAGGGAGCACTTTGGGAAGCTTTGCTAAACCAGAGCAGCTAGCCAGCCTACAGTTTCAAAAGCCTGACACAGTTTGCTGGTTTTCTTGCTTGTTTAGTAAGGCTGAAGTTATGCTATCTTGCTCCCAAGAGAACGGATTTGTGTCAGAAGTGTTTTGCTTTGAGTGGTGGATCTCGCTTAAGTTCTTGGCTGCTTGCCTTACCCAGTAATAGACAAGTGAAATGCAGAGTTGGGGGTGGGGGAGAGGAAGGGAGTCCCACCTTTGTGTCGGGAGAACTGCTGGCAGCAATCTGAAATTGTGGGTGGAAGATCTTCCCTTTGCCCAGCATTCTCTACCAGCTGAGCCTCTTTGGGATAGTCATCTACTTGGTTTAAAAAAACAAATCTTGCTTTCATTTAAAGCCCTATACGACCTTTAAAGCCCTATACGGCCTAGGACCCTCGTACCTACGGGACTGCCTCTCCTGGTATGTCCCACAGAGCACCTTACGGTCTTCAAATAAAAACATTTTGGGCGATCCCGGGCCACAGGGAGGTTAGGCTGGCCTCAACCAGAGCCAGGGCTTTTTCGGCTGTGGTCCCAATCTGGTGGAACGCTGTCACAAGAGACTAGGGCCCTGCAGGACTTGACATCTTTCCGCAGGGCCTGCAAGACAGAGCTGTTCCACCAGGCCTTTGGCCAAGGCACAGTCTGACCCCCTCCTTTGGTAATCCTCATAGAACTTTAGCCCAATGGTTGCCCTTAATTTGATTTTGAATTGATTTTAGAATGCAATGATTTTAGAATGCATTTCAATTAATTGATTGTGATTTTATGTAAATTGTGTTACTTTTATTGTTGTTAGCTGCTCTGAGCCTGGCTTCGGCTGGGGAGGGCGGGATATAAATAAAATTTTATTATTATTATTATTTCAGCTGGACCTCAGCCCCTTCCAGACGCTGCGAGCAGCCTCACCCTCATCGACCTCTCTGAGCTGGCTGCTGGGTGCCAGGCTCCCTTGCAAGAGAATGCAAAGACAGAGCCTTTTCTGGAGAGGCTCCTCTCCTCCTCTTCTACCCACTCACTGGATGAGGAGCTGATGTTAGGTTGGTGTCTTGGACTGGAGTTCTCAGGGGCTGCATCTTCCCTGATGTAGAAAGCCCTGCTTCCTGTGGTTGGGAAGGGCCTGTAGGAGGAGAGTGTTTGAGGAGGACAAGAGTTGTATTCAGTGCTAGCCCTACTTAGAGTAGACCCATTGAAATTAATGGACTTAGCCTGTGTGCAGAGTAGACCCTGGCCATGATCAGCTTGGGCTCAGAGTGGGTCTACTCTGGGTAAAATATTATTATTAATAATATATTATGTATTATATTTATATTCCACCTTTCCTCCAACTAGCCCAAGGTGGTGTACATAGTTCTCTCCAGTGCTATTTTTCTAGAAAAAGAGGTGCCAGAACTCACCATGAATGCCTCCCTGGTTCTCTTATAATGGAACCTGAGAGGTGCTGGAACTCAGTTCTGGCTGGGGGAAAAGCCCTGGCTCTCCCACTTTCTAGTGCAGCACTAACCACTACACCACACTGGTTCTGAATATGTTTGAATGCAACTCTATGTGTTTTCCAAACCAGGACATAACAAGCTGTTGTTGGCTCCATGTTTTCAACACCGCTTTATGATTTCCATTATGCTTTAGACTCTGTGGAACCGTTTCCCAACCCTAAAATAAATAAATCTGTTAGAACTGTCCTTGTTATAGTCACCCTGTTTCCTTCTGGTGGGGTCTTCCGAGCCGCCCAGGGAGAGCCAGCTATGAGAAAACCAGGCCGGGGCCTCAAGAGCCACCCTCCTTCTCCTGGGCTGGTGGAAGAGTAGTCGGTCTGAGCTGCTTGCACCCTCGTTGGCTTCAGATCCCGCTGCACATCCTGGACCAGGGTCTTCATGGATAACCAAAGCTGGAGGAGGAGCCTTCAGGGATGTTGCTGCAGCATTAGCACCTAAGCAAGAGGCAACCAGGGCGTGGGGAGGGGAGCTGCGGAAGGAAAGGGTTAGTTCCCTGCTGGGATAGTGACATTGCCTCCACGTTCCTGTGGCTCTCTTTCCCCAGGTCTCCCCATCAGCCCGACGGCGGCGGCTCCTCCAGTCTCCAGCCAAATACCTGAAATGGCACCAGCACCTTTGCCGCCTTGCCCTGCGTCCTCCAGCGGCTCCTTGGCTAAGCTTTCAATTCCGCTGAGTTCCATTACTCTGAGTAAGTGCCAGGTTGGGGGCTTTTCTTCACAGGGCAGGAGCTGAGCAGCTGCCCCCAATCTGGTGGTGGGATGTGGACTCTGGTGGGGCGACAGAGCCCCGTATAGGGTTTGGCTTTGCCCCTCTGTGAGGCTCTGTGGCTACCTGTTGCCAACTGCAGTTGGCATGGCAGCTACGGCCATTCCTGGACCGGGAAGGCTTGGCTGCAAGTAGTTCACGCGCTGGCTACTTCCAGAGTAGATTACTGCAATGCACTCTGTGCGGGGCTTCCCTTGTGCCCGATTCAGAAGCTGCAGTTAGTGCAGACTTCTGCAGCACGATTGCTGATGGGAGTGGGGCCGTGTTAGGATTTAACGCGTGCTCAGATATCTGCAGTGGTTACTTATTTGCTACCTGGCCAGGCTCAATGTGTTACACCATTAGTATACAAAGCCCCCAGTAATCTGGGACCATATTATACACCCTCTCGAGTGCTTTGATCTGTGGGACTGGCTGCGTTATAGGTGCCACACAATGCCCGTTCCACATTTTTTGGAAATCGGTCTCCTAGTGTGGCAGCACCTACACATGGGAACTCCCTGCCTCTCTATTCTTTTCAGCACCTGCTAAAAACATTTTTTTTTTGGACAAGCCTGATGTTTGGGATACTGGTGTGTTTTTAGCTCTATGGATGGTTTTAATTTTTTTGAATGCTGTAATTTGTTGTTGTTTAGTCATGTCCGACTCTTCGTGACCCCATGGACCAGAGCATGCCAGGCACTCCTGTCTTCCACTGCCTCCTGCAGTTTGGTCAAACTCATGCTGGTAGCTTTGAGAACACTGTCCAACCATCTCATTTTTTTTTTTTAAATGATATTTATTTCAAATTTAAAATTACAAAAAAGAAAAAGAAAAACCATACAAAATACAAGGAAAACATTAACCGTGACAAAGCGTAAAATAAACAAATAGAAAAGAACAATAAAATAGAATAAAAAAAGAGACTTAACAGAAGATATAAAAATACATTAAGTTAAAATAAAACAAAAACAGATTAAACCTTTACTTAACCTTTTTCCCTTTACTTATTTCCATGACCTCCTCTCACCTCCCAATTTTGTATTCTAGTTCAGATCGTATTTCCAGCAATTCCTTCTAACCTTATTTTCATTTACGTATTTTGAAATTTCAAATAATGTAATTAAACTTCCTCCATTTCATCAAAATCAACAACTCATTTTTGCTTAGTCCATTATATCATATCTACCAAAACGACCTAATATTCTTTTTCCAACCTCTTTCTAACATTCTTTTATATTGCAGTATTTTTGAAGATATATTTTGAATTTTTCCAATCTTCTTCCATCGACCCTTCTCCCTGGTCTCGAATTCTGCCGGTCATCTCAGCCAGTTCCATGTAGTCCATCACTTTCATCTGCCATTCTTCTCGGGTAGGCAATTCTTGTGTCTTCCAGTACTTCCCACTGAGTATTCTTGCTGCTGCTGTAGCATACATAAAGAAAGTTCTATCCTCCCTTCGCACCAATTGGCCGACCATGCCCAGAAGAAAGGCCTCTGGTTTCTTCAGAAAGGTATATTTAAATACCTTTTTCAATTCATTATAAATCATTTCCCAGAAAGCCTTAATCCTTGGGCATGTCCACCAAAGGTGAAAAAATGTACCCTCAGTCTCTTTACATTTCCAACATTTACTATCTGGCAAATGATAGATTTTTGCTAGCTTGACTGGGGTTAAGTACCACCTATAAATCATTTTCATTATATTTTCTCTTAAGGCATTACATGCCGTAAATTTCAAACCTGTGGTCCATAACTGTTCCCAGTCAGCAAACATAATGTTATGTCCAAAATCTTGTGCCCATTTAATCATAACAGATTTAACCGTTTCATCCTGTGTATTCCATTTCAACAGCAAATTATACATTCTTGACAAATTCTTAGTTTTAGGATCTAACAATTCTGTTTCTAATTTTGATTTTTCCTCCCGGAAACCAATCTTTTTATCTAAATTAAAGGCCTCTCTTATTTGATAGTAATGAAGCCAGTCTCGAACTTTAGTTTTTAGTTTGTCAAAGCTCTGCAGCTTTAATTTATCTCCATCTTGTTCTAGAATTTCACAATATTTTGGCCAGTTTGTCTCCATATTGGTTTTTTTCAGAGCCTTAGCCTCCATTGGTGACAACCACCTTGGTGTTTTACTTTCCAACAAATCCTTGTATCTCACCCAGACATTAAACAATGCTTTCCTGACAATATGGTTCTTAAAGGCCTTATGTGCTTTAATCTTGTCATACCATAAATATGCATGCCATCCAAAAACATTATCAAAACCTTCTAAATCCAAAGTGTCCGTGTTTTCAAGAAGCAGCCAATCTTTCAGCCAGCAAAATGCGGCTGATTCATAATAAAGCTTAAGGTCTGGCAGGGCAAATCCACCTCTTTCTTTAGCATCAGTTAAAATCTTAAATTTTATTCTTGGCTTCTTGCCCTGCCAGACAGATCTCGAAATATCTCTCTGCCATTTCTTGAAACAGTCCATCTTATCCAAAATCTGCAATGTTTGAAACAAAAACAACATTCTAGGCAATACATTCATCTTTATCGCAGCAATTCGGCCCAACAATGATAACTTCAATTTTGACCATATTTCCAGATCCTTCTTTACTTCTATCCAACATTTTTCATAATTATCTTTGAATAAATTCACATTTTTAGCAGTCATATGAACCCCTAGATATTTCACTTTCTTAACCAATGTTAATCCTGTCTCCTTCTGAAACCTCTCTTTCTCAATCTCTGTAAGATTTTTCTCTAACACCTTAGTTTTCATCTTATTCAGTTTAAAACCTGCTACTTGACCAAATTCTTGGATTAATTGCAATACTCTTTTTGCGCTGGATTCTGGCTCCTGTAGTGTCAAAACCAAATCATCAGCGAAAGCTTTTAATTTATACTGTTTAGCTCCGAGTTGTATACCTTTAACCAATTGGTCTTTCCTGATCATATTAAACAAGACCTCCAGGACCGATATAAAAAGCAGTGGGGAGATTGGACAACCCTGTCTTGTTCCTTTCTCTATCTTAAACTCTTCTGTAACTACATTATTTACAATCAACTTAGCTTTTTGTTCCGAATAAATTGCACCTATACCGTTTTCAAAACTTTGGCCTACCCCCATCCCTTGTAAATTTTTCTTCATGAAACTCCAAGAAATATTATCAAAGGCTTTCTCCACTGTCCAACCATCTCATCCTCTGTCATCCCCTTCTCCTCCTCAGTAGCATGTTGGACGCCTTCCGACCTGAGGGGCTCATCTACCAGCGTCATAACTTTTATATGCCTGTTGTCTTTGTCCATGGAGTTTTCTTGGCAGGGATACTGGAGTGGCTTGCCGGTTCCTGCTCCAGGTGGATCACGTTTGGTCAAAACTCTCCACTATGACCTGTCCATCTTGGGTGGCCCTGCACGGCATAGTTCATAGTTTCTTTGAGTTGTTCAAGCCCCTTTGCCACGGCAAGGCAGTGATCCATGCTGTAATAGTTTTTACTAATTACCTTACTGCCTTATTCTTTATGCAAACTGGGAGGAAGATTTCTGCAGTCAAGCAGTATATAAATTGTATGAAATAAATAAATGCCCCCCCTTTCCCTTCCCCTCCCTCTGGATCCTGGCATCCTCATCCTAGCCACCAGATTGCTTAAGGACAGTGGTAGAGCATAGCTGGGATAGCTCAGTTGGTAGAGCAGGAGACTCTTAATCTCAGGGTTGTGGGTTCAAGCCCCACATTGGGCAAAATGTTCCTGCATTGCAGGGGTTGAACTAGATAACCCTCATGGTTCTTCCCAACTCTACAATTCTATCTGTTCTGGGTGTAGCAGCTCTCGAGTTCAGTTTCTAGTATCTCCCAAGTATGGCTGGTAGACACCTCTGCCTGAAATCCTGGAGGGTCATTGCATCGTTGCCAGTCAGTGTAGACAGTGTGGAGCTAGTTGACCCCAGTGGTCTCACTCTGTATAAGGCAGCTTCCCATGTTGTCTGTCTTCTTGCCCCCAACAGGCACGATCCCCCCGGTCACGGTCTATGAGGAGAAGGGCCTGAAAGCCATGCTCCACTTCTCCAGGGACCCGGTTCCCGGCCAACCAGCCACCAGGGTGCTGGTTCTCTCCCTGCTGAGCACTGCCCCTCACCCAGTCCAGGACATCGTCTTCCAGGCTGCTGTGCCCAAGGTGAGAGAAACTGGCTCTTAATCTAGGCAAGAGAGCTGTGCTCCTGACCAGCAGGATTCCTCCCTCCCTGTGGATTGTTGTATTTTATTAAGGAAGTTACATAGTGCCCTTTATTTATTTACTTATAAAAATATGTGTATGCCGCAGTGCCATAAATAATTTAACAAAGTGGGTTATAGCAATAAAAACATAAAGCAATACAATACAAGCCATAACAAAAGTTAAAAAGCAGACACCATTGTGAAGGAGCTATTCTTAATTGCCTGCACAGGTATGGCAGAATATAAGAGTTTTCAGCAGGCGTTAGATGGCCCCTGCTGAATCTCCAGTGGCAGAAGGTCCCACAGGACTCGGCTGACGATGCTAAAGGTTCCATTTCTTGCTGCTGTTAGGGAAGGGTGAGGCTTTTCCCACCTGTCAGTCACCTGATGTCACAAGGATCTTAGGTTCCCATACAGACCAGGCCAGCAGAAAACGTTTCTCTTCCAGCAGGTCTTTGGCCTGACCACTGTTTTTGTCACTTTTGCCTTGCCTTCCTGCTTTGCGGTATGAGGGTGTATTTTCCTTGGGGGTTTCAACTTGAAACAGAAAGAGGGGATAATTTATAAAATGTTGTGATTGATATGCTGCTGGGGCACTGAGCCATGGAGTTGTCCCAACGACCCCACCTGGGCTGAGCTTGTGCCTGAGGAGAGCTCATCCTTCTTCCTCTCTCTCTCTCCCTCTCCTCTTCCTTGCTGCTGAATGATAGTCGATGGCCATCAAGCTGCAACCAGCCACAGGCTCCGAGCTGCCGGCCTTCAACCCACTCCTTCCCCCAACAGTGATTTCTCAAGTACTGCTTCTGGCCAACCCTCACCAGGTATGTGGCTGGATCAGGTTGGGGTTTGTGGTCTGGGCAGCAGACTGCCCAGCAGCAGCCAGGGACCAGTGGCTCCTTTCTTTGGCTGCCTGTTCAGAATGTGGGGCAGGGCTGGGGAGCATCTGTGCTCCTCCAGATGTTGTTGGAGTGAGTCCTATCACAACCATCGCCATCACCTCCGACCACTGGCCCTGCTGACTGAGACGTAGGGATGAGAATGTTAGAAGACGGGGAGGGGGGCGAGGCGAACTTCAGGAACGTTTTGAAACTGATGAGGGTTCAGCTTCTCCTCAGACTGTCGAATGGGAATTGTGTAAAGCCCATACCCAAGATAGGATCATAGCATCTGCTTTTTGTAAGAAACAGATTTAGAAGCCTGCCGGAGGAAGTTGGGGAAAAACAGAGAGGCCCATTTTAGGTCCATTGGCAGTATCCCCTTCCCCAAATTTACCGTGCTCTAGATAGGAGTGGAATGACCTCCACTACAGCTGAATTTGCCCTGGCAGGTTTGCACCAGAGAGAGAACGGGCAAGAGTTTGGATTCCTTCTTTAAAGAGGGGCCTGCCAGAAATTGCAGAGTGTCTATGTGTCTGTCTTTCCTCTTTATATCTTTTTTCCCCCCTGTCCCCAGGCTCCACTCCGACTGAGATACAGATTGTCCTTCGTCCAAAATGGGACACCTTGCATAGAAACTGGGGAGGTATCTGATTTTCCCCATGCAGAGTTATGGGGTGGGATTTAGTGAATGCTTGCCTGGTGACTTCAGAAGATCCCCAGAGCACCATCTTCATGGTCTCAGGGCACCGGGATGAGCCTCACCAGGGCCCAGACATTCAATGCCAATTACGCTTTGGAGCAAGATACCTTCTTCTTCGCGTATACCAATCAGTACATTTTTAAAAATGCAGCTATCTTTATATTCATTTGGACTATGTAAACAGCACTGGACACTTTTTCCTCCAATAATCTTGGAAGGGATCACTTCGTTTCTGAGGATGGTCCACCTGAAAGCTACCCTCCCACCTGTTGGCTGAGCTGCTGTGATGTCATGGAATGTGTGCAACCCGATAGTCCATAGAATATTGATAATAAAGTTTTTCTGTTTCTAAGACACGAGTCAAAGGTAAACATGGAAAAAAACCTCAACAGAATATACTGGCTAATTTCTGGCAAGAGGGTTGTTGGAAATAAAGAAACTGGGGCTGTGGAGGAAGCTGAAAAGCAGAGATGCAAGAGGGCCATGGGAATGACTAGAGGGAGCAAGATGTGACCAACAGAACACATGACGCGATGCACATGTGTGACAAATGCTTTGCTGTAGGCTGGATTTGTTTTACTTTCCAAAGAGTGGTGTCTTCCAAAGAGTTTGGCTTCCTGCTTTAAAGAGGGGCCTGCCTGAAATTGCAGAGTGCCTTGTGTGGACCAGTTTGCTATTGAGAGGATGGGAGGGGAGAAGGAACCTCTGCGTCTGCGTGGAGGGCTCTCTTTCATTGAAGGTTTGAAAGCAGAGCCTGGATGGCCACCTGTCAAGGGTTCTTTGGTTGTAACTCTTGCATTGCAGGGGTTTGGACTGGATGACCCTTCCAGATCCTCCTAGCTCTACAATTCTGATTCTATCTCTGCACCACCCATGCTCTGCTGCCGCCGGCACAGAGCGCCTTGCCCAGAAGAGCTGCTGGCTAAGATTAGTATAATTTATTACCCACCCTTCTGTTGATTTAAAGCAGAGTCTCGTGCCCAGCGGAAGGATGAGCAATACGTGCTACATACTCTATATTGCTTTATTTACAGTTCAAAGCTGGTATATTACAGAAAGACATCTTGCCTCTGCCGGAGCAGAAAAATGCATCCTCTCTCCTCAACAGCTCGGAGAGAATCACACAGTGAAAAACAGGAAACCAGTGTACGTCACATCCAGTCTCCCTTTCCCGTGAGAAACTCCAACAGTACAGACTGTGGAATGTAAACACCTGTCTCATGACAAGTAGAGCTGCACAGTGAAGGAAAGCAGAAACCAACATCCTCCCCCTTTCTGTGAACATCACTGGGCAGCGTGTTTGCACAATATCAGTACAAACCCAACTTCTGCACATAGGTACAGTGTTGATCCCTTGATACAATCTTGGACAATACATCAGCAGGAATTTCATTACCTGGCATATAGGACACCGTTACGAGTCCCTTCTGAATACATTCCCTAGCATGCTGCAACTTTAATTGTAAGTGCTTTGTGCTTTGCTTACAACCTTCAGACTTCAGCAAAGCCAAACATGCTTTGTTGTCCTGGTAAACCTGGATTGGACATTTGACAGGAATTTTCATATCTTTGCACAATTGTACTAACCATTCACAATCCTTAAGTGAATAAGACAGTGCATTCAGTTCGGCTTCACAAGTACTTAAGCTAACTGTTGTTTGCTTCTTGCATGACCAATCAAACAGACTCTGATTGTACATGTAGCAAACTCCAGACGTACTTTTCCTGTCTGTAGCGTCACTTCCAAAACTTGCATCTGCAAATATCTCAAGACCACCAGACTTCTGATTGTTAAATCTCAGTCTGTAATGCATAGTGCCTTTCAAATACCGCGCTATGCGTTTCAGAGCTTTCCAATGCTTGACACTAGGATTGTTGACTTGTCTGCTTAGCAAATTACAGCTAACAGCAATGTCTGGTCTTGAACATCTGGCAATGAAGTTTAGCTTGCCTAGCACACTCCTGTACAGTGTAGTGTCAGAAAATGCTTCTTCAGTGTCATCTACCTGATAACCTGTTGTCATCGGTGTGTCTACAGGGTTAGCATCCATCAGATTTAGTTTGCTTAACACATCAGCAATTTTCCGTGACTGGTGTACTAGAATGTTACCATCTTGATCTCTCTCTATTTCCAGAGATAGGTAGTTGTTTACCTCACCAAGATCTTTCATGTCAAAGTGCTCTTTCAGTTGAGCTAGGGCGTTATTGTACATTGCGACATCTTTCCAAAAGAATAATAAATCATCAACATAAAACAAACAGTACAGTTTCTTTTGCCCCTCCTCTTTGACAAATACACATGGATCAGCTTTCCCTTGCTGAAAACCTAGAGAAAACAATACTTCAGTGAGTTTTGTGTGCCAACACCGTGCACTTTGTTTGAGACCATAAAGGGATTTCTTCAGAGCACAAACAAATCCCTGTTTTATCTGTACGCCATCAGGTGGAAGCATATAAAGTGATTCATCTAGAGATCCGTACAGAAAAGCTGTATTAATATCATGGTGACTAATGTGTAGATTTTCCTCTGCAGCTAGCTTGAGCATAAGCCTAATGCTTTCATATCTCACTGTGGGTGAATAGGTCTCGTGATAGTCTTGACCTGGTACCTGTGCAAAACCTCTGGCTACCAATCTGGCTTTGTGTCTGACTATCTTGCCATTTTGATCTGTCTTCGCTTTGAAGACCCATTTGCTTCCAAGCAGTTTCATTCCTGGAACTACTGGAACTAGCTCCCATGTTTTGTTCCTTTCTAAGGAATCAAGCTCAGCCTTCATGGCATTTAACCATGGCTCAGCTTCCTTCGAATCCAAACCCTGGATTTCTTGGAAACTTGAAGGTTCAAATACCTTCTTGGAGCTTTTAACAGCTGTTACTGCTATCTTAGCAAACTCATCAGCAAATCTCTTTGGAGGTTTGCTTTTTGTGACTCTCTGTGACCTACGAATTAGCCTTAAGTCTTCAACACTCTCCTCTTCCTTCTTAGGAGAAAAACGACCTATTGTGAACAATGGTTCCTCCAATTCTTGATCAGAGCTTTCAGAGGGTCGCATAGAGGCTTTCGCACTCTCGAAATCCTCTGAATCACCCGATTCAGTTTCAGATTCAGACTCAGAACCTTCATCAGTGGGTGTGGGCTGTTGTGGTTGCTTTGACTATCCTCAGTCTCATCACCGTCATCAGGATAACATTGGAAAATTCCCACATTCTCCCCCACTTTGCATTGTACTCGACACTTCTCGTGAGCTTAATTGTCTTAGAGTCAGTCATCATTATTCTGTAAGACCCTTTCTGATAACCTAGAAAGATACCATGCAATCCACGCTTGTCTAACTTGGAGTTTTGTGGTGAGCGAACCCACATGTCAGAACCAAAAATCTTCATGTGTTTGATGTATGGCTTCTTGCCAAACATCTTCTCATAGAAGTACATCCAATCGCTGAAGATAACCTGCGATTGTAACTGTAAACAAAACACGAGAGAGATTCGGCCCAATAACTCTCTGGAAGATTGGCATCATGCAGCAAGGTCTTTAACCCTTGAAGCAATGTCTGATTTGCCCGTTCCGCAAGTCCATTCTGCCATGGCGAGCGAGGACTAGACAAATCGTGTTGAATTCCTTTCTCAGTCAGAAAAGCTTCAAACTGCTGAGAAGTGAATTCCCCCGCGATCACTGAAAAGAGTCTTTATCTTCTTACCATGCACATTTTCCAACCAAGCACAGAATTCCTTGAACCTAGGAAAAGCCTCCGATTTCTGCTTGAGATTGTACACAAAAATATATCTAGAAAATGCATCAATGAGAACCATGAAGTATCTATTTCCACCCAAAGAGGGCGCTAGTGGACCAACCAAATCAGCATGAACAACCTGGTATGGTTCTGTAGCTGTCCTACTAGACACCTTACCTTTCGCAGCCATTTTCACCTTGTTTGCTGCGCATGCTTTGCACTTCATGTGGTACCTGCAGGGTTTAATAGTCATACCTTCAACCAAGGCAGGCATTTTAGATACTGCCTCAAAATGCAAATGACCAAATTTTCGATGAAAATCGTGAATACATTCTGCATGCAAACTTTTGTTAGAACCTGCAATGCAACAAGTGTCATCCTGCACCACATCATCATAATACAAAACAAACAAATGATCAACATATTCTGCATGCAATACATAATCATTTTTCTTTGTGATGATGCACTTCTTGTTCTTGAAGGAAACGTCAATGTTCCGCTCATTCAGCTGTCCAACGCTGAGCAGATTATGTTTGGCGTCTGGCACGTAAAGCACATTCTGTATCGATAAGTCCAAACTGTGAAGAACAACAGTTCCGTAGCCTTTACTGGGAATAGTGTGGTCATCCGCCTGGTGAATCGCACCTTCCTGCGGTGTAAAAGACACAAACAGTTTCTTATCGTTGCACATGTGGTGGGTGGCCGCTGAATCAACAACGAAGAAAGATCTAGACGTCTTCTGGACCTCTGCAACCTTTGGGGTGAAGCGTGAAACCATAGCCTTGTGCTGCGTTGTCCTAGACACCGGACCTTTGCCTTTGCCTCGGCCTTTTCCGCGCGATGAGCTTTCGCTGCGCTGCTCTGTCTTGGCCCTGGGATGTCTGCATTCCCTCTTCATATGGCCTAGACGTCCACACGAGTAGCATTTCACTGCCTTCAAAGCTTTGGCGCCATCTGGTGGTTCCACTGCACTATGGGATGACGTCTGTGAAGACTCCCCCTTGCCCATGCAGCTAGCACCCCGGCGATCTGCTTCATTTAAAATCACGGCAGTAACAAAGTCCACTGTCAGCTGAGCAGTTGGTTGCACAGCAGTCTGGGTTGCAACAGACTCCCAACCTGAACCCAAAGATTGTAGTATCATGAAAGAATACACAGCCTCTGGAAAGTTGAGTCCTCTCTGTTGCAGCTCATGTCTCAGATTTTGCATCTGCATCAGATGTAAACGCACATCTCCACCTTCAACAAGAGCCATATTATGCAGCTTGTTAAAGTAAAACATAGTGGATCCAGCTTCTGTCCTTAAGTGAGCCTCTCTCAGAGCGTCCCATATTTCTCTGGCTGAGGTCTTATCACGCAATAGACAGAGCTCTTCTGGGGACACTATCAATGTAAGAGTTCCCCTTGCTTTGGAATCCTTAGCTTTCCATGCATCTGTAACTGGAACTGGGGGGGTTCCTGTAATCACCTCAAACAAACCCTCTTTCCGCAGAATTGCCTCTGCATACTGAACCCAGTCGCTGTAATTTTTCTTGTTGAGCTTAGGGATCCCACAAGCATCCTGAAGGGCCATCATGACTCTGGCATTAGCCTTCAGCGTCATATATATGCTGCATTAAATCTTGCTGCGTCACTGCTGCAGCTGCTTTATCACAAAAGCGCACTTAAAAGTTACTTTCGATTTCCCCAGCATAGTGACTTGTGCCTGGGAGCCTTTTGCCTATTCCCGGCAAAACCGGCTTTAAAAGTTCAAAGTCCAGCCATAAAGCCATTAACTTGAAGCTGGCAGGCTGCCCGGAGCAGTAGCACATACCTCATCAATCACTTCTACGCGCAGAGCAGATTCCTTTCCGAACCGTCCCTCTGCATTCCGATCCTTTTCCGGCACTCCGATTCGACCTCTGGAGTCCATAACCACGTGTTGATTTAAAGCAGAGTCTCGTGCCCAGCGGAAGGATGAGCAATACGTGCTACATACTCTATATTGCTTTATTTACAGTTCAAAGCTGGTATATTACAGAAAGACATCTTGTCTCTGCCGGAGCAGAAAAATGCATCCTCTCTCCTCAACAGCTCGGAGAGAATCACAGAGTGAAAAACAGGAAACCAGTGTACGTCACATCCAGTCTCCCTTTCCCGTGAGAAACTCCAACAGTACAGACTGTGGAATGTAAACACCTGTCTCATGACAAGTTAGCTGCACAGTGAAGGAAAGCAGAAACCAACAGTCCTAAAGTCCCAGGTTCAGCTTATAACAATGCTGAAAACAGCTTAAGCATTCTGCCCTGTGGGCTCGATCTGTGGCCTCCCTTAATGACGCCCCATCAAAACATGTTGCCCTGGGTAGCTGCCTCTTGCCAAGAGGTCTAGAGAAAACTGGTTTGCATGCCTCTTCCTTTGAGCTAGTGGTGAGGCAGCAGCACCCTTGCTCCCCAGGGAGATGCTGCTGGTTGTGTGACTCCTTTTGCATTTAGGAGCAAGAACGCATGGAGTGTGCATGGCCTGGTTTTCCAAAGGTGTCAGTCTTCTCTGTGTCTTCTCAACCCAAGAGCAGCTGTAGTGGGCAAGCACTCTTCCTAGGGTGCCTTCAGGGGGGGTCTTGCGTGGCTGCCTCTGTTTGAGTTGCCTGACTTACTTCTAACATGGTTTTCTTAATTTTTAAGTATATAACTGCAAAAAGTCAACAAACGTACTGATCAATCAAAAAACCGTAACTGTAACCGTAATTATGACTGAGTGAAGTGCAGAAGTGTAAACATTCAATTTCAGCATTCAGAAATAAATATGGAGAAATGGCTCAGAATTATTAATTAAATTTCTTTACTGCCCTTCATCTGAGGATCACAGGGCGGTTCACAATATAAAAACCACAAAAACACGTAATATTGTTTAAAAGGCCATAGACTGCTAATGAGCCAAACACCAGGGAGGAGAGGAATGATTTTGCCTGCAGAATGAAATCAAATCAAAAGCCATCATCATCGACAAATAATTTATAGACCACTATTTCATTAAAATATCAAAGAGGTTCACAACAAAAATACATGAAATGAATGTAAAAAGAGGCATAAATCAATCATTCTGAGTGGGTTATATCCAGCTATCTTTTGCTCAGGGCAAACTCATTGAAATAAATGAACCTACCTTAGTCATGATCATTCATTTCAATGGATCTACCCAAAGCAGGGCTAGCAATGCATACAGCCCGTTATTATTTTGCCAGCCAACGTGTGCCTGTGCTGCCTAGCCTATCAGGGGCAACAACTCAGCCAGGAAGACTGCGTCTGTTGGCTCTCTGCCTGCCTGCCCCTTACGGAAAACGCAGTAGAACCCCCTCGAGGCGTCTCCGCCCCGGCGTCAGACAAGCTGCGCGCAGCGTGTAGGCGGAGTCTCTCTCAGCGGAGCCACGACGGCAGGAGCGGAGCCAATCCACGGGGTGGAAGGGTGGGCCCGGCGTGAAGCCGGCGGGGGCGGAGCTTCAGCCAACCCAGGCCCGTTGTCAAGATGGCGGCCCACTGGGCTGAAGAGTGACGGAGATAGACGGGGCTGTGCGCGTGCGCGCAGGTGGGCTCCGAGCGGGCAGGTGAGACAGCGGATCCGCCATGGACAGGGGCAGTCTATCCCTCAGAGCCAAGCCCTAGAGGCAGAGAACTGGGGCGGGCGAGGGGGGGGGGAAAGGAAATTTGTTCTGAACGCCTCTTATTTCCTGATGAGGAAGTCGGGGTGAGGGGCACATAGGGGCGCGGGGTGGGGCAGTAGCAGCACCCTCTTTTCTTTATCTCCTTCAGGAGTAAGTTACGTCTTTTCTCCCTTCACTGTCACTGACATCCACCCCTTTCTCTCTGTATAGATAAGTGTGGATTAGGAAATATTCTCTCTGTATAAATGTAATACTGTATTTAAGGACGGCAGTGGCATGGTCTTGCCCTCTCCTCCTCATCTCACATCTTTATTTCATTGCATTTCTATCCTACCTTTTTCTCCAAGGAGCTCAAGGTGGCCTACCTCTGCCCCCACAACAATCCTGTGAGGTAGGCTAGGCTCAGAGGCAGTGACTAGCCCAAGATCACCCAGTGAGCTTTGTGGCCGAGGGGGGATGCAAACCCTGGTTTCCCAGGTCCTAGTCTAAGTCTCTAACCACTATGGCATACATCTGTATTTCATTTGTATCCCAACCCTTCCTCCCAAGAAGTTTGACAGCAGCATACATGTTTTTCTTCCCCCTTTTCTGCTCACAACAACCCTGTGAGCCAGGTTTGGCTGAGAGGTGGCCGTTAGCCTGAGGTCATCCAGTGAGCTTCACAGCCCAACTAGTTATAGTCCAACACTCTAACCACTGCACCAAGCTCTCCCTCTGTCTCCCTGTGTCCTTCCAGTCCACTCTGACTGCTAGCTGACAGAGAGCCTACTCTTGCCAGAACTCTGAATTGATGACCTATTCACACCTGTGACCTGTGAAAGTCAGCCAACCTCCTAGTGTACCCTGACTGGCAGCATCTGCTCTCCAGGGCTTCTGGCAGGAGACTTTTCTCAGCGCTTCCTGGAGATGCCACCAGTGGGGATTGAAACTGGGAACCTCTGCATGTCGGGCAGGTGCTCTGCCACTGAGCTGCTGCAACCCTGTCCTTGTTCACATCTGTCCATCTTGTATCCTTCCAGGCACTGCTGATTCGCTCCCACACAAGGGGAGAGCGTGGAAGACGGCATGGATTTCTCCAAGTTCCTGGCTGATGATTTTGAGGTGAAGGCCTGGGTGAACGGGGTCTTCCGAGCAGTCCAACAGGAGGCCCCGGGCAAGCTGGATGCCCACGCAAACACAGTGGTGATGAAATTGCAGCTCTTTATCCAAGAGGTCAACAATGCCGTGGAAGGTAATGGCAACTTAAGGAGGTGCAACTTAGGGTTTCAGGGCAGGAACTTAGTAGCTAAACTTCGTAGCTAAACGTTCGTTTCTGCAAGCCAGCTGTGAAGTCCAATCTCACCTTGACAGCACAGTAATATTGTATGAATTTGTCAGCATGGATATCGACTGATTAAATTATGCAACAGACTTTACATAGGTTGACTTAAAAGGAAACCTTTAATCTGAAATTTGTTCTATAGCTGTTGACAAGTTTTTCACCTTTTCAAAATGTAAAGACTGTCCCATCCCAGTGCAATTGTTTAGCTTGTTTAAACAAGTTAGTTAAAATAATAAAACACTTTTACATTGCCATTTCAGGTGCAGCCACAGAATGTGGAAGCTGGTCAGTGAGATGCTTATTTCAAGAAATTTTATTGCAAAAGAATGTAGGGAAAATGGCTAGTTTCTTTAGCAGTTCTGTGGCACCTTAATAAAGAGTAATTTTTTTGGTGACACAAGCTTTCATAGGATGGAGTCTGCTTCTCAAATGTGTTTTCCCCCCCAACTTGGATCACTAGATGTCTCTGTCTTTGGGATTTGGAAATCTACATTAGGGTTTTCTTCATGAAAGGACCAAATTTTTGGCATGTAAACTCCTCTTTGGTGATTTATGTCCTCTAAAATACATGATCTAATCAAACTATTACTAACAGATACTACTTTGCTTTTGTGAGAAAACCCAAAATTCATGTTAGAGTTTTAACACTTCTGTGGGAATAAAACAATGGCTTAAATGTCCCTATTTAAAATGGGGGGAGGGGGTAGATGGGAGAAAGATCTGCTGTATTCTAACTATAGACCCCCCCCACTAGCTTACAATTGTTCCCAACCACACTCTGCTGCTTAGCCTGAAATCCTATAAGTAAGCTCCACTGAACTCAGAGCTTGCTTTTGATTAAATGTGCATGAGTTCAACTTGCAAAACACGTTGAGCATTTCTTCCACAAAGGATTTGCTGAAATGCAGCCTTTAGCTTTAATTTGAAATAACAAACTATCTTGCAAAGATGTTTTACCATTTAAATTGCTGGTCAGAAGTAGAAAGCTTATCAAAGGAAAGGAGAGAGGCGTTCCATCTTCCTTTTTTATCCTTTTACATGCTCTTTTATTTCTATTTCCCTGATTCCATAATTAACTTGGCAAGTGGATTTACTGGAGCCTGGTTTTGTGACCGTTGACCCCTATTGCAATACTCAAAGGTAGCAATTTTTCAGTTTGCTGTGTGTTTTTAGATGAGGTGGAAAACGGATGAAAAAAGGAGAGAAAAAAGCTGAGGGATTCTTTGAAGCTTCACACTGAGGCCACTCACACTGCAGAAGAGGAAAGCAGCTTGGTTGACTTTAAAGTTTAAAAATGCAAAGTCTTTTTGTTGGAGAGTAGAATGAGCTGAGTCTTTGAGACGTTTTTACAGTGACATCCTGCATAGCAGCCACAGTAGAAGCAGATGTTGTGACTCGCAAATAATGAACCAGCCAACCCATCCTGGTGCCTTCTAGCTTTTGGAGGCTAAAGTTCTCATCGGCCCAGTCCAGCACAGCTGTTCACCTATCAGCCCCCCAGCATCACACAGCTGTGCTAACTAATGGGAGTTACAGTGCAAAACAACTTGAGAACTGTAGGTTAGGGAAGACTGGTCATAGACATATGTCATATGTAACATAGTGTGCTTCTTTAAGTGACTTGGTGAGAGTGCAGAAGCCTTCCCAGCCAATGGCTGAGCTTCTGTGATGTCATGGAAAGACACAATGTGCTCTAACTGGTTGTGTTGAAGATGCTGACTATAACAGCAGTGGGTGAGAGAAGTGTGGCATGCCAGTTTAGCTGGAAGAGACATGTTATTCCAGAAAGCCGATGAACAGGTCAGAAGTGAGCCTGCAAGGTTGTTCTGGATGCTCAGAAATGGGGGATCTGAGAAGTCAGAATGCCTCAGAATTTAAAGTTGCTGTTCATATCCTTTTATTTCTAGCCTTCAGTGCTGTGTTGAATTGCAGTGACCCCACCCCTGCTTTCCCCACTTGGTGATTCCTCTTCTCTCCCCCACACCCCGTCCTCTGGGGATATAATTGCTCTTTTTTTGCCCTGCTTCTAGACTCTCAATAAGGAATCTCTTCTCCTTTTTTACACCAAGCCACTGAATCATTGACGGTTGCCTTTCCCTTTCTGCAGAGACAAGTCACCAGGCGCTCCAGAGCATGCCCAGAGTTCTCCGGGAGATGGAGGCCTTGAAGCAGGAGGCAACCTTCCTGAAGGAGCAAATGGTCCTGGTGAGGGAAGATATTAAGAAGCTGGAGCAGGATACAGCCCAGTCGATGCAGGTACTTGATCCTCTGGCATGGCCAGGCGGGCTGTCCTTTTCCTGGAGTAGCTGCAGGCTGGCTGCAAGAGGTGCAAGCATGGAAGGGGTCAGCCCAGCGTAGGGAACTGGCAGCCCTCCGGCTATTGTTGCTCTTCGACTCCCATCATCAGCCCTGACCATCGGCTAAGCTGGCTGGGGCTGGTGGGAGCTGGAGTCGAAGAACATCAGGAGGGCCACAGATGTTTCCCCACACTTGCCTGAAGCCACAGGGCAGGCCAGTTCAACTCCCGAACTTGCACCTCTGCTCTGCTCATGGCAGTTGCTTGTTCTGGCTGCCATGTTGGTACATACAGTACAGTATTGCAAAGCACTGAAAAGATAAGAAGAGCAGAGGAGCCTCTCTGAAGGGGGCCCATCTAGTTCAGCATTCTGTCCTTGCAGTGGCCAACCAGATGTCCCAAAGGGAAGCAACTCACAAGCATGACATAAATGCAACAGCATTCTCCCTGCGTGCTGTTTGCAGCAGCTGACATTCAGAAGCATTTACTGTCTCCAACAGTGGAGGTAAAATCAAAGCCATTGTGGCTAGTAGCCATTGATAGCCTTTTGCTCCTCAGTGAATTTGCTAACCGCTTTTAAAAGCCCTCAAGCTGCCTCAGGTTCAGTGGCAGCCATGCCTCTGAGGAGCAGACATTGGGAGACAACAATAGGAGAGGGCTCTTTGCCTCTAGTGTCCTGCTTGAGGGCTTCTTAAGGATGTCTGGTTGTCTCACTCTGGGGAACAGGATGCTGACCTATACAGGTTGCTTCCCACCACCTCGTCTTTCCCGGTGGGGCTCTCCTTATATTCTTTAATGGTAGATGGAACACCCCACCCCCCAAATCCCAGAGTTGTGCTTTGTTATGCAGCCAAATTTCTACGTTTCTAGTTGGATATGTTTTTAACATTAATTAGTTATTTAGAAACAGCCCAAGAGAAATGTGTAACTCACAGGGAGTGTCTTTATCATTAAAATGAAAAACACAAAAACCAACCGACACTTGCAAAATTAAGATGCGACACAAGGCAGGTTTCTCTGTCATCTTTTGTGGCTCTTTCTGCCTCTTTTCCAGGTTTTGGTCAAACTGGATCATGTGAAATCCAGGATGCAGCTGGCCGCCGACTCTCTTCAGGAGGCAGACAAGTGGAGCACCCTCAGTGCTGACATCGAGGAGACGTTTAAAACACAGGTATGTGTATATTCTCACATGACTGCAAAGTGCATCTCACCTCTAGATGTCAGCCTTTGCCAACCTCTTGCAGTACAGATGTTTTGGACTACAGCTCCCCTCAGCCCCAGATGCAGCTGGATCAGGCCAATGGCCCATCTAGTCCAGCATCCTTTTCTTACAGTGGCCAGCCAGATGCCTGTGCGAAACCAGCAAGCAGCAAGCAGGATTTGAGCTCCTGTCCTGTGGCTTCCAGCAACTGGTATCACGGCCTCAGACTAGAGGCAAAGAAGAGCCATTGGGGTTGATAGCCTTCAACCAGGCACTGGTCAGCTAGAGAGCAAGAGAGATCTTTGAGTTGCTGCCTGGGGAACAGTTTGTTTTTTTTAAGCCATTGAAGGAGACTGCTGGGCGTTTGTCTGGGTTGTCTCTGCAGCCTGTGCACTTTTTCTGCTTCTCTGCTACTGACTTGTGTAAGATGCTGACATGGCAGAAGAATCTCATGGTTTGTTGAGTTTGGAACTCTGCTCCAATTCTGTTTCTGCTGCTGGCTGGTTATCCTCTTTGGCTTCTTCTCAGGCTGGAACTGTGCAAGGTTATTTCTTTTTAAATGGACACCATCTATTTTTGGGGTTCCACCTCCCCCCTGCCCTGAGCAAAGGGGAACAGAAGTGTGCCTTGTGGATGTGGGTGGGATGTGCAAAACATGTGCTCGCTGGGCAATTCTGATGACCAAGTGGTGGTGTTCTTTTCTGGGTCCAGGACGTGTCTGTGATTTCAGCCAAGCTGACCAGCATGCAAAGCAGCCTGGCAGTCCTGGTGGACACACCGGACTATTCGGAAAAGTGTGTGCATCTGGAAGCACTCAAAAACCGGCTGGAGGCCCTGGCCAGCCCCCAGATCGTGGCTGCCTTCAACGCTCAGTCTGTTGGTGAGTCTGTGGCCTTTGGTCCTATTATTCATTTATATACCCCCTTTCCTCCTCCAAGGAGCTCAAGGTGGTGTACATGGCTCTCCCCGTCCTCATGTAATCCCTACAACAACCCTGTGAAGTAGGATAGGCTGAGAGGCAATGATCAGCCCAAGATCACCCAGTGAAATTCATGGCTGAGTGGGGATTCGAACCCTGGTCTCCTAGGTCCTAGTCTGATACTAGGAGAGTGGTCCAGCTAGGTCTTCTTCCCAAAGCCTAGTTATTTCTTTCCCCAGCTTTGGGAAGGAGGCGGAAGGGCTCCAGGACCCAGCCAGAGCCTTGTGCCTCC